ATATATACAAATATATTGCAGATAAACACACACCTGTCTCACTAGTTACACAGCAACTTATAGATTACGTTAGTAAAAAATAGTACTCTGTTTATTAGAGTCTCAGCATTTTATATATATTCAGAAGATTTCATACTGAAAGTTCTGCTTAAGCTCCTCTGTAGCATTAACTGGAATTTTAGGGATAAAACATTAATACTCTTCAAATATCTTATTAAAAACAGTGTTTTAAATACATGTATTTCTATGGGTATAGGAAAAAGGCTGAAGTCAAGGGCTATCAAATGTTTAAGTCTATTTTATGTGGGTTTTGGCTTATAGATGGTGTTTTCTTCTTTGTGCTTTTCTGTGTTTTTTCCAAATTTTTTACACAGAACATGGGTTACTTTTGTAGTCAGAAAAAGAATTCTTTTGATTACCTAATTTTCAATATGCTTTTTATCCTATTCTATCTAAACCACTAGGTATTAACATAGTAGAGAAACAACACTCAATACAAGTCAGGAAACTTGCAATTCTTACCAATCAGCAGGGTGATTTAGAAGTCATGCAACATAAAATCCTTGTCACCTTATAGGGTTGTTTTGAGGTCAGTAGGCAGTACAGTAAAATATCTTGTGATGTATAAAGTACAAAGTTCTTATGAATATCAGATAATAGTTCATAGACTAGCTATCCTTGTTGGGAAAGAGTAAAATTTAAAATAGTAAAATTTAAAGTTGCTGTCAGATACTAAGTTATTTTATTTTAACAAAGGCATCTGCTTGTGAGGTTCATTAGATTATTTCTTATGTAGTAAATGAGGTTATTTTAGTGCTTCATTTCTTTTTCATGCATTTTATTTTTCCTTTAGGTAGTCAAGCCACATACTCCATTAATAAGGTTCCCTGACAGAAGAGACAATCCTAAACCCAATGGTAAGCTGTAGTTTATTTATACTAAAAAGATATGTACATGCAGATTTATACATGAATATTCTATTATACACAATATTTCTCATTTTAGAATCCGGTAGACAATGGTAGCTTAGATCACAATGGTATGTTAGGTTGCATTAACTAACTTTCTATTACCTCCTTGTAAAAAAGTAGTAACTTGACAGTAGGTATTTCTGAATTTTTAATGATACTGTGTTTATATATGGGAATTTTTGTTCCACCTTCTGTCCTTCAGAAGAATGTCCCATGCTTATATTTGCAGAGATTATGATGAATAACCACCATTCCTATGTTTCTCTCCCAGCTAACCTTTTCTTTCATTCACTGATTTATCTGTTCATTGAGGCAGTAAATATTTCTTGGATTGCCTTAGAACTTAACAATCATTGCCTATTACAGTAACTGAAGATTCTGAACAAGTTCTGTTTTTCTCTTACTGCTCTGTCAGCTGTCTTTAATTATAAGATACTTGACCTTTAATTCAGGGAGAATTTTAACAAATTTTGTATGGATATTTTTAACTTATTGTAACTCTTGAAAAATTAAGATATAGGTGACAAACAGGTATGGAGAAAACAAATCTCATCTGCATTTACCAACTTTCTTATTCTCCATTGTATGGTATTACCTGTAATCTCTACCATATGACAAAATTTAAGTAATGTAAGTTATCCATACGGGTTGAACTCCACTACCTAGAAATTTCATTATTTTATGAACTTACTCTTCAATTTAGTAATTCATTCACTTAAAACTACCTCATTTGCTTTAAAAAGAACTTTATGAAACTATATATAGCTACCCAACGAAGTTACTCTATAATACTTATCTCTTGGATTGTAATACTTATCATTTTAAGAATAACTTGAGGGCTTCCCTGGTGGCGCAGTGGTTGGGGGTCTGCCTGCGGGTTGGGGGGACGCGGGTTCCTGCCCCGGTCTGGGAAGATCCCACATGCCGCGGAGCGGCTGGGCCCGTGAGCCATGGCCGCTGAGCCTGTGCATCCGGAGCCTGTGCTCCGCAACAGGAGAGACCACAACAGTGAGAGGCCCGCGTACCGCAAAAAAAAAAAGAATAACTTGATTATTTAATGATAGATAATTCAAAATAGTATTTTAAGACACTGAACAATTCCTCTCTTTTTTTTTTTTTTTTAATTTCAGTGTCAGAAGTTCTGAGATCAGCAGGACTACCGTCTCACTCTTCTTCAATTTCACAGCATTCTAAGGGAAGTAAATCGCCAGACTGGCTGATGCATCCGGGTCCACCAGACACTGCAGAGTTAATAAAAACTTTACCTCAGAAGTACAGAAGGAAACTCTTATCTCAAGAAGAAATTGAATTTATCCAAGTACGTTGTTGCTCTTTATCCCAATACTGTGGAAAACACCTCAACATTATTGGCTTTGGAGTTTCATATTGCTGATTTCCATGTTCTTCCCATTGTCTTGTCAAGGTGTGTCCATAGCTAAGACAGGGATGGTCATGTAGGCCTGGACTATGAGAAATAAACGATGTTCGAGCCCTCAGTAAATGTGCATGAAGGAATATATGTGTAGAAGTATAGTATGGTAAATAGCAAAATATATATACCCCATGGAAAAAAGCTCTTTAGGGTCCTCATTAATTTTTTTTTAATTAATTTACTTTTCTCTGCATTGGGTCTTCGTTGCTGTGCGTGGGCTTTCTCTAGTTGTGGCAAGCGGGGGCTACTCTTTGTTGCGGTGCATGGGCTTCTCATTGCGGTGGCTTCTCTTGTTGCAGAGCACGGGCTCTAGTCGCGCAGGCTTCAGTAGTTGTGGCACATGGACTCTGTAGTTGTGGCTTGCGGGCTCTAGAGCACAGGCTGGGCAGTCGTGGTGCATGGGCTTAGTTGCTTTGCGGCATGTGTGATCTTCCCGGACCAGGGCTCGAACCTGTGTCCCCTGCATCGGCAGGCAGATTCTTAACCCCTGCGCCTCCAGGGAAGCCCCCTCATTGATTTTTTAGAGTGTAAAGGACCAAGAAATTTGAGGACCATTGATCTACGTCAACCTTGAGTCCTCTTCAGATCTGAAATTCTTTATAACATTGATATAGGAGTGCCCCAAAGCTATGAGAAATCTGAAATTGTTTTTAAAACCTAAAGATCATTTGATTAAAATGTTTCAAATTTGTATAGTGGCCATGAAAACATTTCTTTGTAAATGAAACACCTAATCTTATTGCTTTATTACTTCCTTTTCAGCGTGGAGGTCCAGAATAATCACTGACAGTGTGGCTGCTGTTTGTTTAATCAGACAAAGAAGAGTCTTTACAATGAAGGACTTCCAGAATGACAAATGAGAAATTGTACATTAAACAACTTTAATAAAATTTCTGTAAAAAAAAAAAGTATAGAAAATTTAGGACACTTGTATCTCCTAATTTATGTATCTTGGTCAGCTTCTCCACAAGCTTACCTGATTGTTTATATACTTTATACTTATTAAAGTATACATTTTTAAATGTTAGCCTATTAATTTACTCAGATAATCAAATTATCAAGCATTACAGTGTTGAACTATTAAAAGTACACAATGTCTAGTGAACAAACATAGGTTTACCATAATTTCACTTCTCTTTCAGTTTCTGTTTAAACATGGAAAGAATATATCCGGCAGAATTGCAGCTTCCTGGAAGTAATTTTCCTGGAATTGGATAAGGATCAGTGAAATAATGACTCCATTATTTGTTCTTAATTCTCTCAGTGTTTTTGCATTCACAAAGTTACTGGAGAATAACTGGCTCAATAAGCATATCGTACTCTAAATAATAAAAATACAGCCATGGTAAAACAGATGCCTTTGTGGTATTAAGACTAGGGAGTTAACACAAAAGATTATGTAACCTGTGTTCAGAAAAAAATGTCAGAGTATCAAATGGAGAATAAGAGATCAAAATGAATATAGCATAGGAATAACATTTGACCAGAAATTTTAAGTTATTATGTTTTTAGGGGTGTTAAGAAAGTCTTGTTCTTTGGTTTATTTCACTGTTTTGATTGTGATCATGTGTACAAATCCTGACAATCATAAACTTTCTCAAACTTCATTGTCCGAAAGCCTCATAAAATCAACCTATTCACCTTATTAAGGCAATTTACAGAATTTTAATAGGCTCTTCCTGTGCCAAGGGTATGTATGATTGTGAAAGTAAAGCCTCACAAAGTGAAATAAATTCTCTTCTATACCTTTAATGATTTCTAGAATATGCGTTAAAGAAGTCATCCCTAATAGTTAGGGTAACTCATGAGTAATAGACACAGTAGAATTGAGTACGTTTTTGTATTTGCCCAGTTGCGTATGGATTCATCTTTATACTTTTTTTTCTTTTTTACTATTTCAGAGTGGATCTGCTTTTCGTGTAAATTCTGTATTGTGGCCTAGTATAAATGTTGCCCAACTTGAATGTGAAACAGGAGTTTGGTGCTAGCAATGAGCTATTCTGGTAACTCATGAGAAATACATGACTCATGATTTCTTTTTTATTATTTCAAAAATATACTTGGAAAAATTTCTTAAAAACTAGCACTATTCTCTTTTTTCTCCTTAGCTTTCTCATTTCAGTAAAAGGAAGCCCAAGGCAATTTTTTTGCTCTCAGAGTAGGTGCAGGAAATGAAGAGTGGCTTGAGTAATGTCGTGGGCCAGCAGTTAGAAACCCCAATACTGGTACCGTCTGAGGACCACCTTTACTACAGCTGCTGCCATGAAAGTTCCAATGAAAAAATATATCACTTTTACAGAATTTATGACTAGAGGTATGGCAAAAGGATGTTCGTGGGAATTGCTGTCATAGGATGAGCTCCCAAGGAGGATGGTGTCATAGAAAGAATTTGGGCTTGACTTAGAGTAAATAGCTTGTGTTTTCATTTAGGAGTTAAACAGTTAAGTATCTGTAACCATTAGCAAATCGCTCAGTTTGTCCAACTTGCAGTTTTTTCTCCAGTACTATACAATGTGATAGGCAGGATCAAATTAGTGTATTGTCTACTACGTTGTAACAAATCACCCCCAAATTTAGTGGCTGAAAACAACACTCACTTAATAGCTCATGGTTTCTCTGGGTCAGGAATTCTGGGGCAGCTTGGCAGGGCAGGTCTGCTCAGTGTTTTTCATGAGGTTGCAATCAATGCCACCTGGGGCTGCAGTTATCTGAAGGTTTCACTGGGGCTGGACCATCCATCTCCAAGATAGCTCACTCACATAGCTGGCAGGTTGATGCTGGCTGTTGGCAGGAGGCCTCAGTTCCCCTCCACCTAGGCTTCTCCACAGGGCTGCCTGAATGAATTCATGACATGATGGCTGAATTCCTCCAGAGCAAATGATCCAAGCGTACAGGCAGAAGCAGCAATACCTCTTTATGATCTAGACTCAAGTTATACACATTCATTTCTGCAATACTCTATTAGTCACACAGAACAGCCTGTTTCATTGTGTGAGTAAACTACACAAGTGCATTAATACCAGAAGGCAAGAATCATTAGGGCCATCTTGGAAGCTGGCTACTACTGGTGTGTGAAAGCGCTTTCTTAACTGTAAAATGCTATACAGATGCTGAATGGTATTTTATATTTATACAGTGCCCTAATGAACCCAGAATATCACTTAAACATTGCCTTTGTTACCCTATTTAAAATGTCCCAATATAGGAATTTACTTGTCAGCAGCATGGTATAATGTGATTATCAATTCATATGCCATGGCACACTTGGGAACCTCAAGCCTCAAATTTAGCTCACTATGTAGCTTATTTCTACTACAAGTGAGGTTAGATTACGTTAACAGTGATATCTTTTAGAAGGAACGATTACCTAAGTCACGTGACACCATATATCACTAGGTATGACTTGCCACAATTAAGAGGTATAAGTGGTAGAGATGGTATGTTTTCTGCAACATAGGAGAATTTTGCTTAATGAATATATCAGTGCTCAATAAAGACCCAAGTAGTGACAAAGAGCTGGAACGTGACCAGTAATAGTTATGTGATGGCTAACATAAACTGCACACTGTCAGACAGTATCCTAAGGGTTTCTGACGTGTGCAGTCATTTAAGCCTTACAGCAACCCAGTGAGTAGGTCCTATTAACAGAAGAAACTAGCAACAGAAAGGTTAAATAATTTGCCCAAATCATAAACCTAGTAAATGAATAGTTGTGGGGCCAGTATTCATATGCAGGTAGCCTAGATCCAGAGTAAGGACTCAGCCTTTACACTGTATTGTCTTGAGTAAGTTATGAGTTTTTGTATTCTGCTGCCTTCTTCAACCTAAATCTGAAAATCAGGATTCTCCACTCTTAGAAGCATCAAATGCTCCAGCTCAAAACCTTAGAATTATCCTTTTCTTCCCCCACAACCCATGTCCAGTCTGTCAGCAAGTCGTATTGGCTAGAAGCCAAACTGGTACCCTCAATACAACCATCTGGATTCCTGCAGTAATTCTTCAACTGGCCTTCTTGGTTTTCCTTGCCCCTCTAAGTTTACAGTGTAATCTCTCACAACAGTCAAAGGGCGAGTTTTAAAACATTAAGTCCGATATCACTTGTCTGCTCAAAACTCTGCAGTGGCTTTTCAGTAATGTCTTTCTGGTAACACCCTATTTAAAATCACAAACCCTACTATCTATCCCCTTTCCCAGCTTTATTATCTCTGTAGCACTTATCACTATGTATCATAGCGTATTTTAATTATCTCCTCCCATTGGAAGGCACTGATATTTGTTTTTCCCCTGCTGATTTCTCAGAGTCTGCAACAGAGCCTGGCATATTGTAAGCATTCAATATATATTCGTTGAATAAATGAATTAATTGATTTGTATGAAAACTTATGAGAATCAAAGTTGGGTACTGATCACAGTTAACCATTGAGCGCTATGTCTAAACTTTGTGCAAGTTTCATTTAATCCTCGCAACCACCTATGATGTAGTCTACAAGTTCCACCTTACAGGGTAGAAAACTGATGGCCAGAAGTCTGTTCCACAGCACAAAATTGTTCAGTTGACTTGGGACTTCTTTGCCTAGACGTGCTTCTTCATAAAGGACTAAGAATTCCTCTTGATCAGCCCTTAAGAACTGGGCACTCGCTTAAGTAACCTGAAATTGTCGGCTTAGGCGTCCACAGTAACCATGGTGACAGGACACCCTTGAGCAAAAACTAGAGAGCGAGATCAGAGACAAGGCCGAGCCTTCCGCACTCATACACACCTATTAAATCCTGAACACAGAGCATCGTAACAGAGCGCTGATCCGTCTTCGGTAGTGAAGAAAGTATCTAAGTTAAAACGGTAACAGGGTGACACAGCCACCACCGAGAGAACCCCGCTTCCGGTACAATCTGCGGTCACGTGGTAGGACGGGGTGGGGCGCAGAAGAGCCCTCCAGCCCTGCCTCTTGCCGCTCCCTTAGGGCGGGCTCTGGCCGGACCTACTTAACAGCATCCCCGCCCACCCCGGAAGTGGGGGCGGAGCTAATGAAGCATCGGCGCTCAGTGGGCGGAAGTGGCTGTGGGAGGCTTTAAGGTGCTTTAAATTCTCGCTGTCTCGAGAGCTCCCCCATTTCAGTTGGAGTCGAGCTCCGCGTGACAGATGGCTGTGGACGTGAAGTCGCGAGCAAAGCGTTATGAAAAACTGGACTTCCTCGGCGAGGGACAGGTGAGATTCTCGGGTGGGGCTCGGAGGGCCCTGAGCGGGGAACGCCGGGCCGCCTCACACCGTCGCGGGTTTTCTCGTGGAAGCCAGCGGACGGGCCACGCTACTCGTTCTGCTTGCGGGAGGCTGCCCAGACCCCTCCTGCGGCCCCTCTGTCCACCCTGGACATGAGACCTTGAGCGGCCTTCTCCGAAGAATAGACTGGAACGAGACGTGGACGGCCCCACCACGTTTCAAGCCGCCGCGAGTTTTTTCCAAGAACCCTGGGTTCCTTGCTTCCCCGAATCTAATAAAGTAAAAAGGCAAACACAAACCAAAAAAACTCTCACCAACTTAACTTTATTCCTCTTCTTCTCTCTAGTTTGCCACGGTTTACAAGGCCAGAGACAAGAACACCAACCAAATTGTCGCCATTAAGAAAGTGAGTTGCAATTTGTTTTTCCTTGAGTCTCCTTGAAGATGTGTGTATATGGGAGCCGGTGTCAGGCCGTTTTACTTCTCTTGACCGTTTTCTGCTCGTGAGGAGTTACTTAGGTCATTTTCAAAGAAAATAGAATTTCTTAGTGTCTTGTGTTCCAACGTGGAACTCGGGTTGAACTTGTGTTTTGTTGCATTCATTGAAATTGAAATGAAGAGGAAGCTGTGTGTTATGTTTGTTCTATAAACGCAGACGTTGGAAAAGGGGACAAATACTGCTCGTCTCTTGGGTCCTCAGAACACCTGACCTTTCCAGGGCCGTATTTCTGCCTCACCTGAATCCACTTTGTATATCTGTATTTCCTGAGTACAGGTTTACCATGAAAGGCTTTCGCCAGCATTAATGACATTGCTGTGGTGCGGGGTTTTTTTAATGGTTTCAGTAGCTTTTTTACTCGCATTCATTCAAGGAACTTCGGTCATATTTAGTTAACTCTCTATATACCAAGCACTTTCACCCTCGGTTTTTCATTTAATCCTCATAAGAGCCCATGAAGTAGGTAAAGTATCTCTATTTTACACTTGAGGTGGCTGAAGCTAAGAGAGATTAGGTGACTCATCAAGATGTCACAGATAGTAATTGCTAGAGCCAGGTTTTAGATCCAGGTGTCGTGCTCCCAGGTTGATTGCCTTTTCCCATACTACGGAAATCAATAACCTTCTCAAGAGAAGCTGGTTTCTTCACACCTCAGGCCTGGTGGTGGCTTAGGTGACCACCTTCCTTATTATTCCTGTTGCTGCTTTGAATCTTTCTCCTTGAAAATCCCTAATTCCTTTGAAGCGTATCCCTCTCATACTCTTAACACCTGCTTCCCACTCTTCCTTTCCACAATCATTCCTGCCATTGTTATCTTTTTTACTTTTCTGACGTGTCTCATCTCCTTTTCCAGTTTGTGTTCTATAAACCAATGCCATAGCTACTCCCTTGTGAAACCCTTAACTTTGTTAATTCTTTCTAAAGTTATTTTTCTGATTCTACCCCTGGTTCACTTTATTCTAGCCATACTGACCTTTCTGTCCCTTGAATACATTAAATTCATCCCAGTCCCGGTATCATTGCATTTGCTGCTCTGGATTCTGGTTAGTATATTTTTACTCTAAAACTTGAGTAATCAGGTAATCAGGAATCATGACTGATTCCTTATCATTTAGATCTCAGTCAAATATCTCCTGTATATACACGCCTTTGCTGGTCATTCTAGCTAAAACAGGTGTGCCTCCCTTCTTACCTGGTGTTCTTTGCATATTTCTCTATTATTATTTCATAGCGTTTATCAAAATCTAAAGTCTTTTACCTATGAGTTTATTTTCTGTTTACTACCACTTGAATTATATTTAGGACTGGGTCTGGTACATTTGCAGACACTCATTAAAAATGTATTGACTTGACTGGTATAGTCTCTTCAAATTGGTATAATCTCATTGAATTCTGTGGTTTTCTGAAAATCCTAGTGGGTTTTCTTGTTTGCTTACTTTTATCGTAAACTAGGATTTGGAATTCATCCTATTTCTCGGTGATAGACTTGTACCCCTTGAAAGTGACTCATAATGGAATATTCTTTTACATTTAATTTTTATTTCAAATAGTACATCTTTGTGGTTTTATGGAATATAACCTTTATATAAATGAATATATAACCTTTAAAAATTGTGAATCGTTATGTTATACATATGAAACTTATATAATAGTATACATAAACTGTACCTCAAAAAAAAAGCAGAGGGCTTCCCTGGTGGCGCAGTGGTTGAGAGTCCGCCTGCCAATGCAGGGGATGCGGGTTCGTGCCCCGGTCTGGGAAGATCCCACATGCCGCGGAGCGGCTGGGCCCGTGAGCCATGGCCGCTGAGACTGCGCGTCCGGAGCCTGTGCTCCGCAGCGGGAGAGGCCACAGCAGTGAGAGGCCCTCGTACAGCAAAAAAAAAAAAAAAAAAAAAAAAAGCAGAAATATTTCTCCTTCTACTAAACCAGTTATTTCTCAAAATATTTTTTTAAAAAAAGTCAGTTACTAGGCCAAGCATGCCTGTCTCCTCTACCCCTGGTTTTCACTCCTTGGAACAATCACTTTCAACTCCAAAACTGTTTTCTCTGCTATTTACATCCATTTCTTTAGATAGTATGCTTATCATTATTTCTTGAGTGGTCTCTTTCCCTAGTTTTAGACATTTTCTATACTTCCTACTGTAAACATTGGAGATGTGGTGCTTGTGCACCTTCCTCTCCCAACACTCAATTTCTACTCCCACTCATTTACTGACATGTTTAATTTTACAAAAAAAGGGATAATAAGCTATGTATTCTGTATTCTTTTGCCTATTGTATTTTGGACTTTTAAGACATCATTAATCTACCTTATCCTTTTTAAACAATTGTATTGAATTTATGTTTCCCAATTTATTTAACCAGTCCCCTATGGTAGCCTTTTGGAGCCTTTCTCATTTTTCAGTATTTGTTTTATGTATCTCAACAATATACAGTGTTGCATACTTCTAAACTCTTTCTCTCCCTACACACACACACACACAGGCACGCGCGCACGCAATATTCTTCTGCAACTTGTTTTTCTGAATCAGTATTATTTCTGAAATCTTCCAGATGGATACATGTAGGTCTGGTTTATTCATGCTCATCAGTGATTAGATTCTATTATGTGGCTACACTAAAATTGGTCTGTTCAAACTCTTGTTGATAAACATTTAAGCTGGTTTTTTTAAAATGTTTTACTTTTATACAGTCCTTCTACAGACATTCTTATACATATGTGAGTTTCTCTAGAGAATGTATCTTTAGTTGAAACCAATTATGAATTGTTGCTGCATAGAGACTACGCAGCAATGTCACCATATATTGTCAAATTGCTCTCCAAAATGGTGGGATCAGTTTAACCTCCCACCACGTTCTCACCATCTTTGTATTGTCAGACTTTACAACAGTTGTCAATTAGGTGGATCGAAAATGGTATATGGTTGTTTTTTCAATTAATACTTCTCTGATTACCAGTGAGGTTGATCATCTTTTCCTAGATTTATTGGCTTTTTAGACTTTTTCTGTTAGGTTGCTTACATTTTTTTCTTTCCTGTTGATTTGGTGGGGAATTTCTTATATATTCTGGATACCGATCCTTTATCAGAAATTTGCACTGGAGATACCCTCGTTGCTGTAAACAATAAATTACTGATCTGTGATAAGAATAGAAGAGTATTTATTCAAGCCAAACTGAGGATTATAGTCCAGAAGACAGTCTGTCAGATAGCTCTGAGGAACTGTTCTGAAGAAGTATGGTTTTCAGCATAATTTATATCTTGTCAGAACAGAAAACATCAAGCATGACAGGGGTACATTCCTTCAAAGTTTCAAAAAAAGAAAAAAAAAAGATCAGCCGAAGACAGGTCACCGAGTACACAGTGAGTCAGTATGGCCATGGCTCCCGGGAAGGGAGCCTTATCATCAAAGGAGTACTACTACTGAAGTCCCTGGAAGGGAGGCATTTATCCCTATCTTCAAAATGGACATTCTTTACTTCGGGGACAATGCACCCTTTTTTTTTCAATGGTTAAAAGCAGATGTACAATGTGTGTTTGATAGACCACAAAACAGGCTGTTCTAGTTAGCAAAAAGTTTGTTAAATCATGTATAAGCCAGAATGACTTCTCCATACTTCAGTATGTAAAAATTTTTTCCATCATCATCTCCCAGTCTTTGGCTGGACTTTTAGTTGATTTATGATATGTTTTGAGGCACAGATATTTAAAATTTTAATCTGGTTAAATTTGTCCATGTTTTTCCTTTATTGGTTCCCTTTTTTGTGTGCTTCCCTACCTCCAGGTTATAAAGAATTCTACTATATTTTCGTCTAAAAATTTTAAAGTATTGCTTTTCACATTTAGGTCTTCATTCCATTTGGAATTAAATTTTCTTTGTTGTGTAGTATGGGGATCCAGTATTTTTTCCCCAGCTCTCTCAACACTATTGATAGTATGTCCCTTTCCTGGTGAGTTGTAATGCCAAGTTCCAGTTTCTACTTGGATCTGTTTCTGGGCACGCTATTCTTTTTTACTGGTTGACTTTTTTTCCCCCATCCCTGCTCCAATACAATAAGCCTATAATTACTATTGCCTTATAAAGTCTTGAAGTCTGGTAAGTCCCACATAGCTACTTTTCTTCAAAATTATCTTGGCTTACTCTATGGGTCAGTTGAGAAATTTGAAACAGATCAGGAGAATTTGAATATGAACTAGTTATTATATGCTACTCTGGCATTATTATTAATTTTGTTAGGTATGAAAATGGCATTATAGTTATGTAAGAAAATGTCCACATTTTAGAGGTGCCTACTTAAAGTATATAGGGATGAAATAACATGAAGTCTGGGACTTGAAAAAGTATATATTGTAGCCAGCAAAAAGGGGAGGATGAATGAATGAAGTAAGTATGGCAAAATATTGGTAATTATTGAATCTGGGTGATGAAGTAGATGGCTTCATGAAACTAGTCTATTTTTTATTATGTTTAGAAAATGTAATAATGTTTTAAATTATCTGTTCTTAGCTCTTTACTTTTCCATATAAAGTTTAGAATCCATTTGTCAATGTCCTTGAAAAATGCTCTTGTACTTTACATTTAGTTCCATTAAAGAGAATTGACATATTTGATGTATTTATGATATTGAGTCTTCCTATCCATGAACATGCTATCTATGTTTATTTTGATCTCATTTCTTAAGCATATTTTAAGAGTGCTTTATAGTGTTCATGGAAAGCTTCATACATCTCTTGTTGGCTTTATTCCTAAGTGCCTTATATTTTTTGGTGCTATAATAAATAGCCTACCTTTAAATTAAAAGTTCTATTTTTAGTATATAGGTGGGGGATATCTTTTAAAGTAGAATAGTTGATTTTCTGGAGTAGGATTTTTTTTTTTGTATTCTTGGTTACATTGTCATTGTATAAAGTAGTTAGCTCTTGTTCTTTAACCTGGTACTTGGTTTTGTGTAAGACTGAACCTGTTAATGCAGTTTGATGTGCTTATTCACAGTAACAACAGTTTAACCATTTTCTATATCCGTCGCAATTTGTAATTTTTCTTTTTGGAAAATGTGGTCCCTGGGAGCATATTGTTGGACACATTAAGCATCTTATTTTATGCGTTACGCATTTCCTCCGAAGTAGTCTAACTTGAAGTGCTCCTTTTGTTTATTAGCCTCTATGCGTTTAATTATTTGTTCCTCATTTAATCTAACAAAGATGTGTAATTCAAAACTTAAGGGGAAAGGAATGATAGGTACTTGATCCTTTCTTATATTGTTAATTTTGCCTTTCTGATTCATGATTCCCACTCCCTTCTTGCCGACTAATAACTAGCTACATATGAGTTGCTACATATTTTTGCTATGTTTTTTTTTTAAGAAATTTTTAAATTTTTAATTAATTAATTTATTTTTGGCTGCTTTGGGTCTTTGTTGCTGCGCGGGGGGCTTTCTCTAGTTGTGGCAAGCGGGGGCTACTCTTTGTTGTGGTACGTGGGCTTCTCATTGCAGTGGCTTCTCTTGTCGCGGAGCACGGGCTCTAGGTGTGCGAGCTTCAGTAGTTGTGGCACTCGGGCTCAGTAGTTGTGGCTCGCAGGCTCTAGAGCGCAGGCTCAATAGTTGTGGCACACGGGCTTAGTTGCTCCACGGCCTGTGGGATCTTCCTGAAACAGGGCTCAAACCCGTGTACCCTGCATTGGCAGGTGGATTCTTAAGCACTGTGCCACCAGTGAAGTCCTTGAAGTGTTTATATATATGTATTGGTCTAAATAATTTAACATATTTCTAATGTGTTTGTTTTTTCCTCTGCCAGATCAAACTTGGACATAGATCAGAAGCTAAAGATGGTGAGTAAGTTATTTCATGTAATCTGACAGAACAGGAAAGGTTCTTATTCTCAGTGAGGAAGAGAACAAAGTATTAATTAAAGTTAACAGTGGTTCTGGATAGAGTTATTGCAGGGTCCCAGAAGAGTAAAGATAGACTCAGGATAGAGATAGGATATTTGTGATTTTCACCATTTGGGTGTTCAGAAGAATATTCAAGTCACCTAAGTAGATGGAAGACAGCAAGGTTATTAGTGACTTGTCTTACTGTCTTCATTACTGCTTTAGGTGTTGTTACAAGCCATTGTTTCTTCTTCTTCTGAGCTTCTGATTACTTTGAAAATTCCGGATTCATGGAAGTATACAAAGCTTACTATAGAATAAATGTATGGAGGGGAAAGATTTTTTTTTACCCCTTCTTCCAAAGCCTTATTTGCTAGAGTGCTAAGTCCTATTTAGTCATCAAGAAATAGTTCCTATATAAAGGATCCATCATCTCTGTAATAACTAGTACCAGATTTTATTTTAAATGTTGAGTTCCATCCTTCACATTGGGCAAGATGGTATCTAATCACTAGTTTGCTGTTAGCTTAAAGAATCTGCCACTGATATTCATAAGGCAAGAGAAGGGAGCCATTAACTTCTCACCTATATGCTACACACTTGTGTACATGTTGTTCCAGCAGTCTTCAGATCTGATATCTCACAGATAAAGTGAATACTTTTTTCACCATTTATCATAGTCTGTGCTAAGCTATTTTAAAAATAAAGCAATATAAAATGGAAACAGATATGTCATAAAAATTGTTATTTTTTTCCTGAGGAATAGTCATCGCTATTTCATCAGACTGACCTTTCCCAAAAAATACGTTTACAAGAAGGTTTGAGATTTCAGAATTATTTTTCACTTTTTTCTTTGCCTTTTTATGTAGGTATAAATAGAACAGCTTTAAGAGAGATAAAATTATTACAGGAGCTAAGTCATCCAAATATAATTGGTGTGAGTATGATCTAAGTTGTTTCTGGGATTTGGGACCCTGCCTTTCCTGAATGTGGTAGATGTTGATTGAAGGCTCAGCAAGATAAGTTGTTCTAGACGAGCCTTGCAAAAAGGCTGAAATTTATTTTCTATCCTAATTGTTCTTGTAGGCAGTGTCTTAAAAACTATACAACTGATGAAATAAATTAAATATTGGCATACAGGCTGATTTTGTCAGAGATCATTTTGAAGCCTAGAGAGCTCTAGCATGTGTAAGACCTTTAGCAAGTTCCCTTGAACTCTGTGCCATAGTCCCTACCTCATAGCGTTGTTATGAGACTGAATACACGTAAAGTACCTGGGATAGTGCCTGGCATAGAGAACACGCTCATTCAATGAATGATAGCTGCTGATGCTATTTGTAGGATGTTCTTAAGTACCAAGTTTGGGAATTTTTCTAAATTGGAGACTTAAATGAGGTTTTCATTAATTCATATCTTTATTATAACTCCAAAATTTGGAGGGAGAGGTTAAGTATTTAGTGAGTTTGTTTTTAATAGTAAGGTTTAGTATCCTGTGCTTCAAAGTACTAATTCCTAGCCCAAAAAAAGGATAAATATTAAATTTAATAAAATTATTTAAACTTTACAGAGAATTATCAACAATCCAAATATTTGTTTAACTTTTTAAAAATTACTTTAATACTGTCAAGTGTTTAATAGAGAATCACATGTTGATTTTTTTTAAAATTTTGCTTTGCAGCTCCTTGATGCTTTTGGACATAAATCTAATATTAGCCTTGTCTTTGATTTTATGGAAACTGACCTAGAGGTAAGATTAAAATTCCTGGAGGAATTTTTTTTCTCTATTTATCCAAAGAGAATCTAAATGTTTATTTTTTGCCTTTGAAGATACTGGCAGTCAAAAGAATGCTTAATTTTGTTGAAATCTAGATGTGTTCTCAAGTCAAAGATCTTCTGAATCATTGAGCCATATTCCCAGGGTTAAATACAAGAGTTGGATTTCAATAGCATTGTGTCTACCAAGTTCCCAAAACCTTATTAACATTCCTTTTTCGAAAAATGAGTGTTTGGCTTCGGAGGATTTGGAACTTCTTTGTGATATTATCACAGAATATCCTTTTGAAAGCCAGGTTTCTTTTTGAGAAAAATAAGATTTTATACTTCTCATTAATATTAATTGAATCTCAGTAATGGACATTCCAAGAATGTGGAACAAGTGGAATTCTCATACACTGCTGATGAGAATGCAAAGTGATGCAGCCACTTTGGAAAACAGTTAGGCAGTTTCTTATACAATTAAATATACACTTAAGGTACAATCTAGTAAATACTACCTCTACGTATTTATTTATCCAAGAGAAACAAAAACATATGACTACACAGATGTTTAGCTTTATTTGTCACTACCCAAACTGGAAACAACCCAAATAGCTTTCATTAAGTGAATGTGTAATCATAAAGTGGAATACTATTTGAGAATAAAAAGAAACAAACTACTAACATATGCAACAGTATAGGTGAATCTCAAATACATTATACTAAACAAAAGAAGCCAGGCTCAAAAAGCTATTGATATTGGGCTTCCCTGGTGGCTCAGTGGTTGAGAGTCCGCCTGCCGATGCAGGGGACACAGGTTTGTGCCCCGGTCCGGGAAGATCCCACATGCCGCGGAGCGGCTGGGCCTGTGAGCCATGGCCGCTGAGCCTGTGTGTCCAGAGCCTGTGCTCCGCAATGGGAGAGGCCCCAACAGTGAGAGGCCCGCGTACCACGAAAAAAAAAAAAAAAGCTATTGATATTATATGATTCCATGTATGGTTTTTTGGAAAAGGCAAAATTAAAGGAACAAAAATGATCAGTGGTTGCCTGGGTAGGGAATCGAGGGGAGGATTGAGTAGAGAATGGCCTGGGGAGAGTTTAGGGGATTATGAAACTATGTCTTGATTATGGTAGTGGTTACACAACTGGATGTGTTTGTTGAAATTCATAGAACTGTGAGATTAAAAGGGTATATTTTACCTATTTAAAAAAAAAGAAAATGTGAATTTTTATCTCATATAACGAAAAGTCTAGGAAAAAACTGACTGACTTGAGGCATAGTTCACAAATAATGCTAATGTAACACAGTCTTTCACTTTAACTCAGTGTTTTCTCTCTGTTGCCTTGTTCATGGGTAGAATTTCTTAATATAGTGGCTCAGGCACTTGCAGGCTTCTGTCCTTAGAGTTTAATAATCCCTGAGGAAAGAAAGTGCTTTGTTCCCTTTGATTCTAGCACCAATATTTGCCTTGGCTTGGCTCACTTATCCATCCCTGAGCTAGTCTGGAAAGCAGGCTGCAGTGTGGTGACTGACCATGCCTGGGTCGTGTGTCTACCTCTGAAGTCTACAGGTAGCGCACAGTCCTGTTTTAACCACGTGGACTAAGCTGGGAACAGATGGAGTGTTGAATGCTGTTGTCAGAAGGGGCTATGTATCTGGGGACAAGTGAAAACAACAGATGTTTGCTACATGGATGCCTAAAAACAAAGCAGTAGGACATAAAGCACTGCTTTCTTTCCAAACCAAAGATACTTTCCCTAACCATATAATTGGAGGTTCTGACAGTACTTCCTAAGGAGAGTTAGGCAAGCTCTCTTGAGATTCTCCTCTATGAATACATCCATTTTATGTCTGTAAATGATTTTATATAGTAGAGTCCATTTGGAATAATAAAGCTTACCTGTATATTGTATGCCTGCTTTACAGGTTATAATAAAAGATAACAGTCTTGTGCTGACACCATCACACATCAAAGCCTACATGTTGATGACTCTTCAAGGATTAGAATATTTACATCAACATTGGATTCTACATAGGGTAAGGTTTTTAACCAAGTATTATTGATTCTTCATGTTGTAGTCAGACTTCATGTTGTAGCCAATTTATTACACAAAAGGTCTGAGTATGTAAATTGTTACAAAATAGAGCTGGGCCATTTTATCCAACCTTCTTCCTCTGTGTGCTCCCTTCAGTTCCACTACGTGGTGCTGTGAGGACTCTGAATTACTATATGAAACTTAGAAATGGAAGAGACCTAGTCCTTCATGTTTTTCATAGTTGAAGAGCTAAGTTGCTGACCAAAGTTACGTATTTTTTTCAAGGTCAGCAGCTGAAAACTGACAATAGTATTAGAACCTAGACATTTTGGCTTGAAGTCCAGTGTTCTTTGTGCTATACTGTTGTAATGGGAAAAAAATAAACAAAACCAAAAACAGTGGGAGTCTGGATTAAATTATGCAATGCAAAAATACCTTTGGAAAAATATTTCTAGTAGCTCTAAAATTCTAGGAAATAATGAAATAAAATTTCTGAAATGACTGAGTCATTGTTAGGAGCATTCAGCTACTAGAACAAGGCTGATAATTTAGATAGGTAGATGTTCTTAGGCACCCTATTTAGATGAAATAGCTAAAAATAAGTTATAGTTAGTAATTCTCATACTTAACACTTGGAATCCCTTTTAGGTTATTGCTAATATATTTTTAGCATAGATTGTGAAGACTGTATTCCTCATCCTTGTAAGTGCCTAATATTTTTATTTACTGAAGTTCATACATAGTGGGGGTTTTTTTGTTTGTTTGTTTTTGTTTTGTTTTTGGCCTCGTGGCTTGTGGGATCTTAGTTCCCCGACCAGGGATTGAACTCGGGCCCTCAGCAGTGAGAGTGCAGAGTCCCTAACCTCTGAACCGCCAGGGAATTCCCCATATATATTGTTACTAAATTAAATAGCAGCAGCTATTTATTGAGTGCTTACTATGAGCCAGTCACTACACTAGGGCTTTTACAGGAAATATTAAATTTAATCCTCACAGCAAACCTGTGAAATAGGTTTGTGAAATTAAGTACCTTGACCCAGTGTCTCACTAAGTAATATGGCCAATCTTATTTTGCTTTGTAGGATTTTATGTCAATAAAAATAATATTGGTGGTTGTTTAGATTTGGGGTGTTACCCCATTTCTGCTAAGTTTAAATTTAAGCCAACTAAATGTATCATTGTGATATTCTTCTCCACCCTGCTTACTTGTTTGTTTAAAACCTCTATTATATAGGACCTAAAACCAAACAACTTGTTGCTAGATGAAAATGGAGTTCTAAAACTGGCAGATTTTGGCCTGGCCAAATCATTTGGGAGCCCCAGTAGAGCTTATACACATCAGGTTGTAACCAGGTAAGGATTCCTTAACTAACTGAAACCTTACATTGTGTAGGATATACACAAATGATTGTGATTACACAGATGAGCATCATTTGTCTTCTCTGAACTTTTGGCAGAGTTCAGGGATTACTATTGGTACTTTATTAAAAATATAGCCCTTTTCTATATTGTGTGTATCTTACCACAGTGAAAAAAAAATATACAGCCCTTCTTTCAAACGGAGTTGAATTTAACTCAGTCCTCAGAGATTTACCAAGTTATTTTGGGGACTAATTTATACTTCTTATACGGTTTAGTTAGGTAGGTTGGAACTCTAGTGCCTATTCTTGTACATAAGCATGTGATTTGGGGGGCCTGTGTTTATTTTATTGGTCAGTCTTGGTTCCACATTTTATATCATTCAGTGTGAATGAAAATTCTCTAAACAAAGCAGTGCATTTATATTTGGATTTTGCATATTATTAGTTGCTTCCATTTTCTGTTTATACTTCTTATGTATAAAAACTAAAAATCACATTAAATAGATAGGGATGGTAGATTTTATCTTGTCAGGATGACATTTGTTAATTTCTCTGACTCTTGTAAGGATCTGAGAAGTCATCAGATTCTCTATCCTTTTAAATTACTTTGTCACCTTTCTCCAGATCTCACTGAGTGTCAGTCACCTGAGCCCTGAGTAAAAAGTAAGGGATATATAAGTAGTTGCTCATGTAATTTCTGGAAAGATTAAGCCCATCGTTCAGGAACACTGGGGACTCAGGAAAACAGGGACCCACATACATGAGTATTGTGTGCCACTGGTTTTCATTTACTCGTTTCTCATACTTTCTCTTCTTGCAAATCAAATGCTACTAATAGGTCAAATTAACGTGAGGACTGAGAATTAACAATTTAGATAACCTCGACAAGAGCAATTTTGGTGGAGTGGTGGGATGAAAGCCTGACTGCAACGGGTTTAAGAGGATGAGAGAAGAGGAAATGGAGACAGTAAGAACAGACAACCAGAGAATGAGGGGTAACTGTTAGGGGAAGTGGGGTCCAAAGAAGTTTTTGTTTTTTGTTTCTTTATATTTTAGTTTATTTTTTAAGGCTAGAAAAAATAATGGTATGTTTGACATTGATGTTAAAAATCTAGTAAGAACAAAAAGTTGATGTAGGAGAAAGAGGAGAGAATTGCAGGAGCAATATCCTTGAAAATAGGCAGGAGAGTGGGGTGTCAGTGCCCAAGTTGAGGGATTGACTTTAAAAACAATCATGGCTAGTTCATCTGTAGTTATGGATGGGAAGGCGGATTGTGAGAATACAAATGACTGAAGGTGAGTCTGTAGAAATTTTTTTTCATTACTTGCATTATTTCAGTGAAGTAGGAAATAAGGTCATCAGCTGAGAGGAAGGATGGTGTTGAGGGTTCCTGGAGAAAGAAAGTGTTACTCATCTCAAAGTGGGAGAGTGAATGGACTAAGGGTGTATGTAATTTCCTGGCAGTAATATGGAACTTGTTGATTTTATAGCCAATTTTTCTTGAGTTAATATATCCATAAAAGTGCATTTCATCAGTAGATGATGTTTTGCTGAGGAATTTTCTCTAAGAAATACTTTAATTCCATCCTAAAATGACAGTATTTCTTTTTGTTCTTCAGGTGGTATCGGGCCCCTGAGCTACTATTTGGAGCTAGAATGTATGGTGTAGGTGTGGACATGTGGGCTGTTGGCTGTATATTAGCAGAGTTGCTCCTAAGGGTAAGTCTGGAATTGATGTACACACTTCAGTATTGTTATAGGAATTTGTTTTTATAATTTGTGTAATAATTATCTTCCCAGAGGTAATTCCCAGAGAGGAGTACCATCCTTGAAACAAAAAGCCAACAAACAGGTTAATAAAAAAAAAACCTCTGCCAAGTACAACCTTTTTATTAATGCTAATGCGAGGTGAGATCTCCCACTTAGGACAATAAAGGTTTTATTACAGATCATTCTGTGTTCTGAAATGTAACTATAATAAAACTCATTGGGTTGTAATACGGTACTGTCTCTACAGTAACTAAAAGTGTTAGGATAAACTTACGTACTTCTGGTACTTTTTTGTTTGGGCTGTTTAAAAGTACACTTTAAGAGATACGTAATACCAGCCACTGCAGATGCAACTCTGCATAACTTTAAATATTGTATGAGAGGAGCATTTTAGTTCTGTTCAAGCAGAGCAGACATGGTGGTCCTATAGCATTTCTCAAACTGAGACCATCTTACAATGAAACATCCTCTCCCTTCCCTCACTGTAGAGAAAGATGCCAACTTGGTAAGTTTTCTTTAGCTATGAAGTTTAGTTTAGCCCTTCTCAATGATGAAGGCAGAGGAATGTTGGGAAATCACACTGAGGCTGAGTGTTTTTCCTTCTTACATTCCAGATTCCAGCCTCTACTCCCCCTCTCCTCAAGCCATGTGTATTTAAAGAAATGTGAACCCAAAACACAAAAATACAGCTATTTATTTCCTTGAACACAGAAAATAGCTTCTGTACGCCAGAGAGAAGATACCTTCTTAAATGTCTTTTTTAGTTTAGTGTGAGTTCTATGCATCATTTTGAGATGCTCACCCTTCTGAATGCTTGTAGAAGAAACCCTCACATTTAGGCTTGAAGATGACATAAGTAATCCCTGTAGTAATGGGTCCTCTGAATCACCTGGTGTGACAACTATGCTACTCACAAAAACAGAGTTTACTGGAAGGGTACATTTGAGAATCTGTTAACTCTCAAAAGCCCAGTTCATTCATGACCAAGACAGAAACAGAATTCCATAGCCCCTAGTGTTATGACTGATCATTCCATTTAGAAAGTAAGGAGAGAGAGATAGCAGTTGAGAATAAATGGGTTAGAAATTGTGGACCTGGTTGAAGTCATAGTTGGAGTCTTGCTAACCATTGGCATCGTTGTTGGAATTATTATTAAGGTTATGAAGGAGTTGACAGGCAGCCCTATTTGGTGAAGAACTGTACCATTTTGCCATATATTTTTCCAGCACAATTAAAGAAAAATGTTTCCTATTTTAAACTGTCTCTGTACTCATTTGAAAATATCCTTGGAAATGCTGTCCACACAGTTCTAAATCTGTGGTGAGATTCTGCAGTCCAAATAGATAATAGTTGAAAGCCAGGATAATTCAGAAGATTTGCTAATATAAGCGTTTAACTTCTTTAAAGTGTTTTTTTCCTATATAAATTTTATAGAAGGTTTAATAACTAGAAAACAGGAGCAATAATAAGTAAGCCTATATCCAACCAAAGTAGTCTATATAGTTTAAAACATTTTAGAAGCAAATTGGTCTGCATTCTGACCTCTGAAAAGGAATTGAGAAGTATTTATACTAGTGGAGTATTATGTCACTAAATAACACAAATCTACTTTTTAATTTATGATCTGTTTATGTTCTTTTTTCTTAATCATGTTATGAGACATAGTGATTAATAAAAAATCTAAACTTGGATATTACCTACTGAGCAAATGCCACTATCTGGTCTAGATAGTTTCAAAGATAACCATTTTAGTTTGTAAATAAGAAGTAGTTTGGGGGAGACATTTTATGCTTTATAGGAAGGTCACTGGGCATCCTACTGGCCTGCATTAGAGCATTCCCTAGAGATGATGTGGTGATACAAAAATTTGATCAACCAGCAGCTGCCTGCCATACTCTTACTTCATCCAGATGGTGAGGATCCAGAGCTAATGGCTTGGCCTGTGGTTGATCTTCAGCCCTCTGACATTCCAATACTTCAGTTTGGCTGTATCAGCTCAGAACAGAGCTTCCATCAGTTTTTGCATAGGCTTCTGGATGCACATGGGTGTTAGAGGCTATAGGATATCAGATGTTCAAGAACGTTATTGTTCATGCCTATTGCATAAAAAAACTTGATGATTTTCTGATATTTGGTTTGTGATCCCTGCCTCTCTGTAAAGACCTGAGAAAGAAAAAATAAATTTCTACAATGTCATTGTTCTTAAAAAGATGAATCTCAACACAATTTTAAAAGAGAAGTCATGAGTGGAGTCATACTGAAAAGAACCAGAGGGAAGTCCCTCTTGGGTTCCTGTACTGTTGAACTCAGTACTTCTCTTCCTTTTAGGATTAATTAGACTCTTTTTCCTAAAACTGAAAAGTTTTCAATCATATGCTTAGTCACAATTGTATTGGTTAAATTCTGGTGTCCTCTAAGAAGCTGTTATAGAACAGGATAAAAGAACAATAAAGGGCTTCCTTGGTGGCGCAGTGGTTGAGAATCCGCCTGCCAATGCAGGGGACACGGGTTCGAGCCCTGGTCCGGGAAGATCCTACGTACTGCAGAGCAGCTAAGCCAGTGCACCACAACTACCGAGCCTGCGCTCTAGAGCCTGCGAACCATAACTACTGAGCCCTCGCGCCTAGAGCCCATGCTCCACAACAGGAGAAGCTGCTGCAATGAGCGGCCCGCGCACCGCAAGGAAGAGTAGCCCCTGCTCACTGCAACTAGAGAAAGCCTGTGCGCAGCAGCGAAGACCCAATGCAGTCAAAAATAAATAAACAAACAAATAAATATAAAAATACTGACTAGGACTTGGGAGGCCAAATCATTAAAAAAAAAGATTTATTGTTTATTTATTTTATTTATTTTTGGCTGTGTTGGGTCTTAGTTGCAGCATGCAGGATCTTCATTGAGGCGTGTGGGATCTCTCATTGTGGCGTGCAGGCTTCTCTCTAGTTGTGGCATGAGGGTTTTCTCTTCTCTAGTTGTAGCACACAGGCTTCAGGCGTGGGCTCTGTCGTTGTGGCATATGGGTTCCAGAGTACATGGACTCTGTAGTTTGCTGCATGCGGGCTCTCTACTTGAGGCATGCAAGCTCAGTAGTTGCGGCACGTGGGCTTAGTTTCCCTGCAGCATGTGGGATCTTAGTTCCCTGACCAGGCATCGAACCAGCGTCCCCTGCATTGTAAGGCAGATTCTCTACCACTGGGCCACCAGGGAAGTCCCAGACAGTGGATTTTTTTAGTCAACGTTGCATTGATGCTTAATACAATGAAGACATTTTAAAATAAAGTGATAATTATATCTTGAGGATTTTTAAGATGGCAAGGCAAAAATCTCCCCCCCTCAGAAATTATCTCTAAAAAGAAACAAACATAAATGTTTGAAATTAGGAGGTGCCTGTAACACTATGCCAGAGGATATGAAGCCAGAAATGAAGAAGGCTAAAAGTCTTCAGAAACGGATACCAACTGAACGCAAATTTTGTTTGGCACACAGAATCCTGGAGTTGCGTAGCAATGAGAGTGATCATTGATGGCAATAATGAGGTGCAGGACTAAAAACAGAAGGGTTGGTTGAAAAACCTGTATATTGAGCACTTAATAACAAGGTCCCCGACACGACCAGGTTACTTTCCTTCCCTCAGCTATACTTCCCCCTGACTTATTCCTCCACCAGGGAAAGGTTTATTCTCCAAAGAAACTGAAGCAGGAATCTCTAGACATGGGCATCCTTAGACCCAGTGAAGGATGGGGGTGAGATGCCAGGGTGAAAACACACAGATTACATGAAAGTCTGCAAACTAAACAGTAAAACCTCCAACTTATTTCCCTGTTCAGCTCCCAGAACCTTGGCAGCCAGCTCATTTTAACTCAGGTAAAAGATTAGAGGATCCTTCACTGGAAGAACTGAACGGTCCCAGAGAATAGACCCGTAGGTAACTGGCATTAAGCTACCTGTCCAGTCTTTCTAGATAAAGGCCATGAGTTAACAAGCTCTTTTCATAGATAGAATGCTTTGAATCAGCTTTTTTAGTACCTTACCTTTAAATATGAATGGTTAGGCAGTGATCACCAGATAGTTATCAAGGATTTTCAGGTATTTAATGACTGCTTCCAACATGTAAGGATAACCAGATAATTGGCAAGGATCATCAGGTATTTGATGAAAGCGTCCAACATGAATGACAGACTGAAACAAACTAAAAAAGAAACTTGGAAAAAATAGAAACTATCAGGTAGCAGAAGAAGATTCATCCTCGCCTCCCCACCTGCACCAAATCTTCAGAGAACTGAGAGAATATACTGCATACATAAAACAAGAACATGATGCTCTTTTACTGAAGGAACAATCAAAGAATAAAGTATACTTGAAATTTTTCAAAAAGGATAACTAAAAGCAAACAAAGATAGTAGAAAAGTAAGCTAAAGAACTCTTTCATTAAATAGAACCAAAAGATAAAAGAGATGGACTATAGTAGGGAAAAGATAAGAAAATTAGGAGATTGATCCAGGAGTGATCTTAGAATATAGCAAAGGAGAAGAAAGAAAATCGAGGGTAGGAAATTCATAAGAAAATAGCCCAGCATTGATGGATGTGAATAGGTTGGAAGTGCCATAAAGATTCTGCACAATGAATGAAAGAAGCCCCATGCCCAGACACATGGTGAAATTTCAGAATACCGGGGGTTCTTAGGAAAAAGCCTTTATTTCCACAGAGAGAAAAAACGTGAAAAGCTTACACAGAAACCAAAATAAAGGATTAGGGAAAAGATGGCATCAGACTTCTCAAAAGCAACATTGAAGACAACAGAACACATTGTGAGGGATCCAAAGTCCACGCATTAGGCAGCTCATTTTAATTTAAATTTCTTACATCAGACAAAAACAGCCATCCTTAAAATCTGGTTAAATTGCAAGCTTGCTCACAAAACTAAGGCTATGATGATGAGTGTCCCTGTCTTCAGATCTCGTAATACAATTTACGTTGGTGGTTTGCAAAGTAGCAGAGGTATAAGAAGAAGGTATAAGAAGAAGGTATAAGAAGAAAATGTGAGCATGTCTAAAAAGATTTATGGGGACTTCCCTGGTGGTCCAGTAGTTAAGAATCTGCTTTCCAGTGCAGGGGACGTGGGTTCAATCCCTGGTCAGAGGAACTAAGATCCCACATGCTGCGGGGCAACTAAGCCCACATGCCGCAACTACAGAGCCCATGGGCCACAACTAAGACCCGACAGCCAAAAATAAATAAATATTAAAAAAAAAGATTTATGAAATGTTATTTAATATCCCTTCTAGTTTCTATTTTATTCACATTTAATATACATGATAGCACGCTATTATAAATACATATTTTAAATAGGGGTTATGTTAAGTCTGGGTCCAATCAGAATATAGAAACCACACATTAATTTGAAAAGGGAAGCTTAATATAAAGAATTATTAACTATGACAAGAGGTTGTAGTAATGAGGGATTGACTAACAAAAAGTAAAGAGAACTCAATATAGGAATAGCAGATACAAAGAGCAGTCACCCTTATACCTAGGGGTAACGCTAGGACTAAGGACAGAGCACCCAATGAGAGGACACCCAGGGCTGAGATCTAGACCTCTTGAAGAGGGCACAGTGTGGCTCACTGGTTGGCCGAGAAGCTGCTGTAGAGCTGTGCTGAACTTGCTGGAAATCTGTCCTCTTAGATGCTGAGGAAAGCTGTTCAGGGTATTTCAGGTGCTGAGGAAAGCATTTCTCTAGAGGCACTGCTACAAAACCATCTGCAGGGCATTCTAGAGGGAAGCTGCTGGCCTCCATGCACTGTTGGAGCTGAACACTAGAGAAACTGGTCACACTGCAGGAACCTGGTACCAATTCTAGAAGCTGAGAGTGGTGCAGGAGCCTGCCAGGCAAGCCGACTGGAACCAGGAAGCAAAACTTTTCTTCCTGTGATGTCTCTCCTGCATTCTCTACTGACAAAGCTTCACTTGGCAAAGGAAAAATATTTAAAGGGCCCAGATCCATTTTTATGGAAAGTCAAAAAGGGTGAATTTGGAGTATATTGATAACTGGCAGAGGTGTTTTTGTTATGTTTTGTTGCTGGTAGAGGTCCACAGTAATAAAAATGTTGGAGACTTGGTACTTAATTTCATGTCTTCCCAGTGATTCTATAAACTTTTTCATTGCCTTTAACAGTGCCAAAGGCCTCTTAACTCACAGAGTAGAGAAAACTCCTTTTTTTTTTTCTTTCCGGTATACTTACATGTCTGAGAAATGAATTGGAAAATAATGTCTTTGTGTAGCAAAGATTTTGATCATTTCTTATCAGCTTACTGACGTTTAACTTATAATTATTTTTTTATATCTTTATTAGAGTATAATTGCTTTACAATGCTGTGTTTGTTTCTGCTTTATAACAAAGTGAATCAGTTATACATATACATATGTTCCCATATCTCTTCCCTCTTGCGTCTCCCTCCCTCCCACCCTCCCTATCCCACCCCTCCAGGCACTGAAAGCACCGAGCTGATCACCCTGTGCTATGTGGCTGCTTCCCACTAGCTATCTCCCTTACATTTGGTAGTGTATATATGTCTATGCCTCTCTCTCGCTTTGTCACAGCTTACCCTTCCCCCTCCCCATATCCTCAAGTCCATTCTCTAGTAGGTCTGTGTCTTTATTCCTGTCTTACCCCTAGGTTCTTCATGACATTTTTTTTTCTTAAATTCCATATATATGTGTTAGCATATGGTATTTGTCTTTCTCTTTCTGACTTCACTCTGTATGACAGACTCTAGGTCTATCCACCTCATTACAAACAGCTCAATTTCATTTCTTTTTATGGCTGAGTAATATTCCACTGTATATATGTAACTTATAATTATTTATCCTCTTAAAGTTGGCCAGTATACCTCTTCAGAGAAAGAATTTGCCAAGAGATTGTTTAAATAATATTGGAATAGAGATGTGTTCTCTTGCCTCCCAGCCTTTGCACCTGCCCTTTTGCTAGGATAGTTTTCTTCTTCCATCTTAGACTTTTCTTTCGGCAACTCTCATCTTCATCTGTCAACTTTCATGGCCACTTCCTGTAGGAAGCCTTCCCTCACCTGTCCAGAGTGGGTTAGGTGCTGTTCCCATATGGGCTAGGATCCTATCCTGTGCTCTCACTGAACACGTCATCTTGTAAATACTGCTTTACTGGTATCATCGTTGTTCACCATGTCCACCCCAGGGGAGAGCAGGGACTGTCTTGTTCCCTTGTTTAAATGCCTAGGGCTTAGCACAGTGCCTCTTACATGGTAAGTGTTTATTAAAGATGAGAGGCGTGAATAAAATGGACAGTATGGTACTCTTTACTTGGATAGCAATGGCAGGATCTAATGCCGTATCCAGTATGCCTCAGACTAAATTTTTGTTATAGTTTAGTGTTTCTTATTAAATTAAATTTATAGTATTATTTATGTAACAGCTATCAAAAACTATCTTGAAGTGGCTGCCTCTCACTTTCTTTCAGGTTCCTTTTTTGCCAGGAGATTCAGACCTTGATCAACTAACAAGAATATTTGAAACTTTGGGCACACCAACTGAAGAACAGTGGCCTGTAAGCCTTCATACATGTTCTTTGAAATTTAGTTAGAATTCTGTATAGTGTATAACGTGAATATTACTTAAAGAAATGTACTAATTGTCTTAATTTATTAATAATATATACTCATTGCAAACGTTATACAAAGTAAAAGTTAAAATTATGATATACCATCCAGCCTTCTATATACTTATAGCCCTCCCCCATCCCAGTAATTCCCATTCCAGGGTTAATCACTCTTATTTTGTTGTAAAGCCTTGCTATGAGGATGCACACACAAACACATATGCACATATAGACATATAGAGTTGCTTTTTCTTTTGTTCTTTAGCAAAATAGGGATCACACCATACGAATTTTTTTTGCAACTGACTTGCTCTTCACTTAATATTATTGACCTTTTTCTTTTTAAGCCATATAATACTTAATTTTATGGATGTTCCATGTTAGTTTATCAATATCTTGATGGATTTGGGTGTATTTATTGAATTTTCACTAACACAATCAAGATTTTTTAGTATTATAATTTTTTTGTTGTTGGCCACGCTGCATGGCTTGCAGGATCTCAATTCCCCAAGCAGGGATTGAACCTGGGCCACAGCAGTGAAAGCCCAGAATCCTAACCACTAGGCCACCAGGGAACTCCCTGTTATTTATTTTTAAACCATTACATGTCTATAAAAAAGAAATACTAAATCTGTGATAAAATTTAAAACAATATAAATTGCTAAATTTTATATATTACAGTTCAGTGAAATTCTCACTTATTCATTCTTTTTTCTTTCTTATGTATGTATGTATGTATGTATGTATGGCTGCATTGGGTCTTCATTGCTGTGCGCGGGCTTTCTCTAGTTGTGGCGAGTGGGGGCTACTCTTCGTTGCAGTGCGCGGGCTTCTCATTGCGGTGGCTTCTCTTGTGGAGCACGGGCTCTAGGCATGCGGGCTCAGTAGTTGTGGTTCACAGGCTTAGTTGCTCCGCGGTATGTGAGATCTTCCTGGACCAGGGATTGAACCCATGTCCCCTGCATTGGCAGGCGGATTCTTAACCACTGCACCACCAGGGAAGTCCCATTTGTTCATTCTTAAATTATAATTGAAGGGGCTTCCCTGGTGGCGCAGTGGTGAGAGTCCGCCTGCCGATGCAGGGGACACGGGTTCGTGCCCCGGTCTGGGAAGATCCCACATGCCGCAGAGTGGCTGGGCCCGTGAGCCATGGCCGCTGAGCCTGCGCGTCCGGAGCCTGTGCTCTGCAACGGAAGAGGCCACAACAGTGAGAGGCCCGCGTACCGCAAAAAAAAAAAAAAAAATTATAATTGAAGACCTTTTTATTTTCCTTTCTATTATAGCCTCATATTCTGGGGAAAAAATAATTACTAGAAAAGAGAAATTTTGATCAGTCTCTTTATCTTCTGGTTAAAATGATAATGAAATTATCTGAAGCTGAAATTGAGTTTCTTTTGTGCTGTTACTTCCTCAGCTTTCTAATTGAAAGTTGGCTGTATGTTCTAATTGTGAAATACGCTCTTACAGCCTTTCATTTATTGAACACTTACTGTATGCCATTAATGGTAGGGTTTCATAAATTATATTTAATTCTCCCAACAATCCTATTAAGGTAGGTACTGTTATTCCCATTTTACAGATGAGACAACTGAGGTTTAGTGAGGTTAAGTAACTTGCCTGAAGCTACCCAGTGTCAGAGCTAGGGCTGCAGTCTGGGTCTTAGTGACTCCAGAACCATGTTCATAATATTTATTCTGTACTATTTGACATGATTTTCTAAATAGTAGTTGCTTACTGATGTTTTCCGTGGATTTTTTAAAATTTTTATTTTGATTTACATGCAGAAGGAAATACAGAGATATCCCTTGCACCCTTTACCCAGCTTCCCACAGTGGTAACATCTTGCAGAGTTAGGATAAAAATCACAACCAGCATGCTGACATTGATACAGTTAATATATAGGACATCACCACAGAGATCCCTTTTACAGTCATACCCACTTTCATTCCACTCCTACTCCTTCCTTAACCTCTGGCAATCACTAATATGTTCTCCATTTTTATAACTTTGTCATTTCAAGAATGTTATAAATGGAGTCATATAATATGTAAGCTTTAGGGATTTTTTTTTTTTTTTTTTTTTTTTTTGCGGTACGCGGGCCTCTCACTGCTGGATACTGGATAGTGGAGTACAGACTCCGGATGCGCAGGCTCAGCGGCCATGGCTCACGGGCCCAGCCGCTCCGCTTGATTTTTTTTTCACATTCAACATAATTCTCTGGCGATTTATCCAGATTGTTGTGTGTATCAATAATTCGTTCCTTTTTATTGATGAGTGGTATGAATGTACCATAGTTTGTCTTAACTGTTCACTCGTTGAAGCACATCTGCATTGTTTCCAGTTTGGGGCTATTACAAATAAAACTATTATAAACATGCATGTACAAGGGAATTCCCTGGTGGTCCAGTGGTTAGAACTCTGCACTCTCACTGCCAAGGGCCCAGGTTCCATCCCTGGTCGGAGAACTAACATCCCACAAGCTGCACGGCCAAAAAAATTCACATACAGGCTTTTGTGTAAGCATAAGCATTTATTTCTATGGGACAGATGGCCAGGAGTGCAGTTGTTGAGTCATGGGTTGCATATTTAGCTTAAGAAACTGCAAACTGCTTTCCAAAGGGGCTGTACCATTTTTTATTCTCACCAGCAATATATGAGTAATCCATTTCCTCTGCATCCTCTCTAGCATTTGGTGTTGTCACTTTTTTACTTTAAGCATTCTGAGGGATTTTCTCTTCCCTAATGACTAATGAATAGTGTTGAATATCTTTTCATGTACTTATTTGTCATTTGTATAGCTTTAATGAAATGTCTCTTCTTGTCTTTTCCTTGTTTTTTAATTGGATTGTTTGTACTTTGGCTGAGTATTGAGCACTTTATATATTTGAGACACTCGTCCTTTGATTGTATATGTGGTTTGCAAATTTTCTCTTACACTGTAGTTTGTCTTTTCATCCTCTTCACAGTCTTTCCAGAGTAAAAGTTTTTAATTTTGATCAAGTCTGTTTTTATCATTTTTCTTTTTATGAATAATGCTTTTGATGTCAAGTCAAAGAACTCTTGTCCTAACAAAAAGATATTCCTGATGATTTTCTTTTTCTTGTAAGTTTCATAGTTTTACATTTAACATTTAAGTCTGTGATCCTTTTTGAGTTAATTTTTATATGAGGTATGAGATTAAAAATGTCTTTGGAGGGGACAGTGCTGTTTATGATACCTTTCCCTCTGTCAATACCACAGTCTTAATTAAGTAGCTATATATTAAGTCTTGATATCAGGTAGAGTGATTCCTCCCACTTCTATTCTTTTTCAAAGTTGTTTTTAGCTATTTTAGTTCTTTTTCCTTTCCATATAAATTTTAGAATAACCTGTCTATATCTATAATAATTTTGCCAGAATTTTGGCAAGAACTGCATTAAACCCGTATACCAATTTGAGGAGAATAGACATCCTTATGGTGTTGAATCTTCCAATACACGAACATGATAGGTCTCACCATTTATTTAGAGCTTTGATTTATTTCATCAGTGTTGTATAGCTTTCAGTATATGAGTCCTACACATCTTTTGTTAGATTTTCACCAGAGCATTCCATCATTCTTTCTGAGTGATTCTAAATGGCATTGTTTTTCATTTCAGTGTCCACATGTTCTTTGCTAGTATGGAGAACTACTGTTGATTTTTTTATGTTTACCTTCCTGTAACCTTGTCTGCTCACTAGTTGTAGGAGTTTTTTAATAGATTTCTTGAGGTTTTCTACATAGATCATCATATCATCCGTATGACAGTTCTATTTATTCATTTGAGATCTACATGCCTTTCAATCCTTTACTTACGTTTGAATTATAAAAATATTTTTACAGGACATGTGTAGTCTTCCAGATTTCGTGACATTTAAGAGTTTCCCTGGAATCCCGTTACAGCATATCTTCATTGCAGCAGGAGATGACTTGCTAGATCTTATACAAGGCTTATTCTTATTTAATCCATGTACTCGAATTACAGCCACACAGGTATTTTAGCATATCTTTAGAATTTCTTAAGATTTTCTAACATTCTTTAAATACTGAAAAGATGTGTTTCTATTTTGTTTTAAGGAGTAACAAATTTTATTTTTTCCCTAAGCTACAAGCACTATTCAGACTGGTATTAAAGTATATGATGCACACAAGTACAGGAGAGTTTATTCTTGCTTAAACACATATAAATACATTGCTATTTCATAATTAATTTGCTTTCAAATAGTTCACTAGAGAGGAAAAAAAAGGTTATTGTATTTGTTAAGGCATTGGTATATTTCAATTAAACTCTTATGTATTAACTAAAATTCTGTGCTAAAATCAGTGCCAAAAGTGTTTTGTTTTTTCCCCATAAAATGCAGTTCAAATATGCATTCTGGTCATTGTCACAGTCAGAAAGTGATAATAGGGAGAAAATGGTATAGTCTGATACAACTGTATACTTACAAGAGATTGAAAGGTATTCTAAACAGAAAAACACTGAAACTGAGTTTTTTTAAAGGAAATAAGAATGAAACTCAAGAAAAATGTGGAAGACCAAGAATACCTGCTCTTATAAAAGAAGAGAGAAATGTTATCCAATACAAAAATATAAGACCTATAGATTTGAAAAGGTTTTTTTCTTTGTTTTAAAAACAAGCACAGAAAACTGGGGCAGGGACAGGCAGTGCAAAAACGCAACACGATACAATGATTTGCCTTCATAAAGGAAGAGACCAATTGAAATGTCACAAATCTTCATATCTCACAAAACATTAATGTACAATATATGAGGGATACAAAGTGGATTTTTTTTCACTTAAGTTTATTACAGACTACCAAATCATTGTTTAATGCATTTACGTGTACAAGCCTTTTCTTTGTAGCAGTACATGCCACATTAATATATATATACTAGATATTTTACCATTGGAATTACTCTTCTAATTTCAAACAAGTAACTCATTTTTACCTTTTCACTCATGCATATATGCATATTATCTCCATCATAAGAAACTTGAGACCAGGTCAGATTATCTAGAAAGTTGTTTTCATTAATAGTAAAACTCAAAATATATAGAAAAATACTAGTTGTGATGACTTACTTGGGTTGTATTTTGATAGAATGAATTTTTTTAATGGGTTTTGGCTTGTAGATATCTAGAAGTTGGAATGACTTACTCTTCTTAGATCTCTATGTAGCTCAAAATTAGTTTAATTTACTTATGGAACTGCTATGATTTGCAAGTAATATTTTATAAATGCAACTCTTCTGAAGTAAGAAATCTCTAAATTATTACTGCATATAATATTACGTTGGCAAGTAGGGGGAGGTATGCTTGACCAATTTATATGACTTCTTTTTGTTCATAAAAGAATTATCCAAAAGGAAATACCTTAAATTTTTGTGGCTATTGAACAGTACTATGATGCAGATAAAGTATGAACTTTTGTCATCTAGAATAAAACTGTTTTTATTGGAATTTTGGAACTAAGTAAAAATATCATATTATAGAACATTGGACTGGTAGTAAATAGAACTAACCTTGGGTAAGTCCTTCCAAGTAAAATTTCTATTAATCTGTAGTGGATTGTTGGATTTTAATCCATTGTTTCCAACCTATCACATCTTTTTAAAAGCTTTATTTTTAAGAATTTATGTGATTTGGAATTTGAATACATATAGATGTGACAAATAAACTTGGAAGTTCTTTTTAAACAAGTCTCTCTCTGTGTTTTGAACTACAGAGCCTATAATGTGTAGGGAGATGAACTTTACAATATCTTACTACGGATATTTTGTACTTAGTATAGGCTATTGTGGAAAAATTTGAAGGTAGTGTCTTTTTCTTATGGAATGGAATGGAATGGAATTATCAATCAGTCTTAGGCTGCTAGGTGTTTATTTGTAGTAATCTGCATGTCGAAATACTTGAAATTAAGTTTGCTTGGGGAGGGGGTGTATTCACATAGTATTTTTAATGCTCCTTACAATTTTGGCGGTTAGCTTTTCTTAAACACAGTTCATATATTCACTTAAAACCTTACTTTCTGTGGTATCTTTTCTTCTGAAAGGCATTGAAAACTAAGTATTTCAGTAATCGGCCAGGGCCAACACCTGGATGTCAGCTGCCAAGACCAAACTGTCCAGTGGACGCTTTAAAGGAGCAGTCCAACCCAGCCGCGGCAACAAAACGGAAGAGAACAGAGGCCTTGGAACAAGGTAAAACGCTCATTTTCACAAGAAATGAAATGAATTCAGAAAACTCCAGATAGCTAATATAGAGCTAGTGACTGAAGGGCAGCTAAGAAATGGAGACTGTGACCTGTTTACTTGTATAAATTTAAATTGGATAAAGTTGAGTGTGGTGTTTTAGCTATGTTTACTTCCATTGAGAATACTTAACATCATGCTTTTTAAAAGGACATGGGCACTTTTGAGTATACCTCAGAGTTACAAGTACTGTCCATGTGCATCCTGCTCTTTTCATAAATTCCTTCTGGTACACTGTATGCTTAATGTTTAACTAGTGCTATTGGAAAATCAAAGCGAGTAAAAATAGAGGTAGTTGGAATGCAATGACTGGTTAAAATTGCTATAAGATTAAATGTAAACAACCTCATTTTTCCCCCCAGGAGGATTACCCAAGAAGCTAATTTTTTAGTTACAGAGAACACTGGACAATATTGTACTACTGAAGGATATAGTGAAAAAGGCAAAATAGTAAACATTAATTAAATGCTTTAAAAGAAATCTGTAAATATTCTATTTATGTAAAATATGTAAAACTGGGTTATTTTATTAAATGTATTTTAAAACAAACTTAATTCTGATTTTTCTGATTAGAGTGCAACAGTAAGATAAGTTTAATTCTCTGAAATGTAGAGTTGAAAATGCATTAAGGAATTCTTAATAAAAATAACTATCAGTTATTTTAATGATCTGGCCCATATAGCATTACAGATTTGTAGTAAAGGGGGTATTATTTTAAAATAGAAAGATAGTAGTAATATACCAAATACCTGCTACCCTGACTTAACATATGTTAATATACTAAATAGGAAAAAAAAATAACATTACAGATAAAATTGAGCTCCCTTTAACCCTTTAATACATCATTCCATTTTATTTTTTCCTTTTTACCCTCCCCAAAAGAGAATGACTCTCAGGAAATGAGTGTGTCCTTCCATGATTTTATACTGCTATTTTATAAGAATGCATGTAGTAGTATACAGTACTGTTTTGGGTCTCACAATTTGAGTGGTAGACAGTACATCTCATACAGCATTTTTATTCTTACTCAAAACTTTAAAACTTAGTTCCCAGTTCTGTAGGTCAGTTACCTCTCATGGCTCAACTGTGTTTTTTTGGCATAGGCCAATATCAAGGTGTCAGTTGGACTCTGGGCTCTTCTCTGAAGCTCTAGGGAAGAATCTGCTTCTGAGTTCATACAGTTCCTGCCATTTTAATGCTCATACCTCCTTATCCTTGCTGGTTGTCAGCCAGGGCCCTCTCTTAGCTTCTTAAGGCAGTCCACTTGCCTTGTTGCATGTCACTCTCCATCTGCAAACCGGCAACAGTGTCAAATCTGTCTGGCTTCCTCATCGCTGCCAAGAGAGAAAATTCTGCCTTTTTTTTTTTTTTAAAGGACTCATCTGATAAATGATGTCAGCTCACTAAGGGCTTAATTATACATCTTAAAAATCCCTTCATAGCAGTTACTAGATAAGTGCTTGAATAATCAGGACAGGAATCATGAGAGGGCCATCTTGAGAATTCTGTCACATGGACATTTAGGTTATTTAAAAAGGATTGTTTATATGCACATGCGTTTCTCTAATGTACATACTTAGAATTGTAATCGTGAGGTCATAGTGTGTATTTTCAATTAGTGTTGATATTTGCATTTCTCCAAAGTAGTTGTATCAGTTTACACCCCCAGTAGCTGTTCGGTAGTTCTTAAAAATGAAGAAGCCCCTTACCTTACACTGTATACAGAAACTAACTCAAAATATATCAAAGACCTGAACACCAGGCCTAAAGCTATAAAAATTCTTAGAAAATATCATAGAGGGAAAGCTTCATGACATCAGATTTGGCAGGGACTTCCTGGATATGACCCCAAAACACAGGCAGCAAAGTAAAAAATAGACCATTTGGACTATACCAAAATTAAAAGCTTGTGTACATCAAAGGAACGTAATCAATAGAATGGAAAGGCAACCTATGGAATGAGAGAAAATATTTGCAAATCATGTATCTGATAAGGGGTTCATATCCAGAATCTGTGAAGAATATATGTTGTTGTTATAGTTCAACAACAAAATCCAAATAAAAAATGGGCAAAGGACTTGAAATAGACATTTCACCAAAGATGATATAGTAATGGCCAAAAAACCCCATGAAAAGATGCCCAACATCACTAATCATTAGGGAAATGCAAGTCAAAACCACAGTGAGATTATCACCTTGTACCTATTAGGATGACTACTACCAAAAAAACCCAGAAAATAACAAGTGTCAGTGAGCATGTGGAGAAATTGGGACCCTTGTAAACTATTGGTGGGAATGTATAAAAACAGTGCCAGCAGCTGTGGGAAACTGTGGTGTTTCCTCAAAAAATTTAAAATGGAATTACCATATGATCCAGCAGCTTCACTTCTGAGTATATACGCGAAAAAATTGAATGCGGTATCCCAAATGAATGCATTCGTTAACCTTTATGTAAGAATATTTCACTTCATCATCTCTAGCATTCATACTGTTTGGGGTCTTTGCTAATTTGATACTTCATTCTAATTTACTTTTCTTTGATTTCTACTGTGTTGCTAATCCCTCCTCTGTGAACTGTTGGTTCAGTTTTTTTTTTAAATACAATTTTTAAAGGTATTTTCCATTCAGCTATTACAACGTATCAGCTGTATTCATGTTGTAGGATACATCTTTGAGCCTGTCTCACACCCTATAGTTTGTACCCCAATTCCCCACCCCTATATGAACCCTCCCCCTGCAACCACTAGTTTGTTCTCTGTGAGTCTGCTGCTTTGTTGTTAAATTCACTAGTTTGTTGTATTTTTTTAGGTTCTACATATAAGTGATATCATGCAGTATTTGTCTCTGTGATTTATTTCACTTAGGATAATGCCCTTCAAGTCCATCCATGTTGCTGCAAATGGCAAAATTTCGTTCTTTTTATGACTGAGTAGTATTCCACTGTATGTATAGATACAACATCTTCTTTATCCATCATCTGTTTATGGACACTTAGGTTGCTTCCATACTTTGGCAATTGTGAATAACGCTGCTGTGAACATTGAGGTGCATGTATCTTTATGAATCAATGATTTGGGGTTTTTTTGGATATATACCCAGGAGTGGAATTGTTGGATCATGTGGTAGTTCTATTTTTAGTTTTCTGAGAAACCTTCATACTGTTTTCCACATTGGCTGCACCAGTTTACATTCCCACCAGCAGTGTATAAGGTTTCCCTTTTCTCCACATCCTCGCTAACATTTATTTGTGTTTTTGATGACAACCATTCTGACAGGTGTGAGGTGATGTCTCATTGTGGTTTTGATTGGCATTTCCCTGATGATTAGCAATGTTGAGCATCTTCACATGTGCCTGTTGGCCATCTGCATTTCCTCTTTGGAAAAATATCTTTTCAAGACTTCTGCCCATTTTTTAATTGGGTTGTTTGTTCTTTTGATGTTGAGTTGTATGAGCTGTTTATGTATGTTGGACATTAATCCTTTATCATATCATTTGCAAATATTTTCTCCTGTTCAGCAGGTTGTCTTTTCATTTTGTTGGTTTCCTTTGCTGTGCAAAAGCTTTTAAGTTTAATTAGGTCCCATTTGTTTATTTTTGCTTTTGTTTCCTTTACTTGAGGAGACTGATTCAGATTCTTTGTCCATTTATCAATTGGAATATAAATTTTATCAATTTATTTGAGTTTGTTTTATATACACACATACTTCTTTCTAGTTTTTGTAATGTGATTTTTTTTTACACTTCCTACTTTGGTATTATTAAATAATCCCAGATACTTCCTTTCCCTACCTTTTATGTTAAATTATTATATATACTAGGTCTGTGTATGGTCTTTATCTGATTCTCATTGACCTGCTGTCACACTGTTTTAAATAACGTAGCTTTGTATTACCATCAGGACAATACATTTTTTTAAATTTAATTTTTGTTTTATATCGGAATATAGTTGATAGGATAATACATTTTAATATCTGGCAACAGTAGATCCTCATTATTCCTTTTTTCAAAATGTATTTGCCAATTTTTCAGCTTTTATTATTATTAATGCCAACCAGTACTGTTCCTATAACACAACTATAAATGGTTTATATTGTTACCTTATTATCCTACTGTTAGCTATCTAATTAAGTAGTAATATCTTTTCTTTTCACTAGAGATTAGATAAGTTTTATAACTGCTGACAAGGTAATGCACTTCCTTTGATATCATTGTGATGCTATTAATATAGTAATATTCGCAAAAGATATTAAAGATTATTACTATGTAATATTTCTAGAAAGAGAAAATAATTTTAAATGGCCTAAAATTCAGCATCAAAACCAAGAAGTTAATTCAGAGTGGCCTAAATGCCAGAATTCTGCATAGATCTGGCTACAGAATGTCACCACTCTGACAAAAAGGAAGCTATGAAAAAGGAAGCTATGAAATAGGTAACTAGCAATGACTTTGAATACTGCTGCCAAAGTCCCACCATAGTAACTTTTTTATTGAAGTGAAGGAAATTATTTTTAAACTTTATATGGCAAATGAAAAATCCAGAAAAACACAAAACCAGATAAATGTATTCCAAAAAGTAACAGTCACTCTTATTGCTTGAGCCAAAGATCCCTATAAGTCAATCTAAATAGTTAATTTTCTTCTCAAAATCACTATTTCTTTGTTTTTAAGATGTTGGCAAATACTGAAAATTTCAAAAATATAGTAATATAATTTATAAATATGTCAACATAGAATACTAATAAATGTCTTGTAGAGAACATTTATAAAGCTGCTTCCCCAAATTTAGAATACCCAGAAAACACAACTTCTGAAGATGTAGCAACATTTACATGGTCCGTTTTCAAAGTCTCGATATAAACAGCTCTCAGTTCTAATTTCAACTGGTTTGTCTTCAGTACATGATATTTGATGGCAAAGAACAGGATCTTTTAAGAGTTCTTGTGTAGTACTGATCTGTTTGAAAGTGCTGAATTGAACAAATGCAGCCCACCGAATTAAAAATTTGAACACTTGAATGTACAGGATCACGTAAAACAGGGAATTCTGAAGTTTTCTGCCAGGGGTTTTTTAATGGAGAATTGTCTTTCATAGGATTTTTTTCTTTATTCTCTTTTGAGGTGGTGCCTCTGTCTTCCAAAGCCCGAGCAAGCATGTAACTAACTTTTCTTTGATGAGCCAAAGCTTCTTCTTTATCATTTAACTGCATGCACAGAAATTAAAAACATACCAGTTAGTATATCACAGAGTACAGAGCTATAGTCAGAAGTATTTCATGAAAATGTTCAACCTCCAGTCTAAGCCAGTCAGTATGAATAAATCAATTAGGTATCCACTGATTCCTAAGCATTATGCTACATGGTATTGAGGATTTTTTTTTTAAAGGAAAAATAGAAAACAGCGTTCTTTCTATCGAAAAAATTTTTAAGTCATCTGAAGAGAAAAGAGAAAGAAGTATATATTTACATGGTATGTGTGTATATGTGTATATATGTATATATAATACCAACATGTATTTACCTCTGAAAGAATGTTGAAGTTATTTATATAAAAATTGTTTCTATATTTTTATATGCAAATAAACTTTAATACTCTTCTATAGATAAGTATGTTCATATAACATGAGTTTCTTTGTATAGTCATCTATGAAATTGAGGATAACAGGACCGATTTCAGGGTTGTGGTAATGATTAAAGGATATAATGCATGAGGAAGTTCGTTGAACACTTTAAAAATTCCTGAATATATAAGTCTTGTCATGAACTGTATATGTAACTGCAGATGAAGGAGATGCCTGGACTTAATTACAGGGAGCCTCCTCTTTTCAGAGGTGGAGCTTTAAAGCTGCACAGGAAGAACATGGATGGGAGAAGTGGGAAGCATGTGTGGGGTGTTTAAGGAGATGAAGATCATAATTCTGGAAAATGGTACCTGAAATGGGAACAGAGCATAAAAGTCAAGTATAGAGCGATAAAGAGTTGAATTAATAGGAAGGAAAAAGATAAGCTCATCCACAGCCTCTAACAAAAAGCAAAGATACTCACCAAATCTGTTAGCGTCTTAAAGACTTCCTGAGGATCATGCTGGTCATCAGTACTCTTAGAACTGTTTTCCAAAGGGAGCATACCCAACAGTTTCTGCCCTAAGGTCTTCTTACTCCTTTGTGATGGTAACCCTAAAATGGAACATGAAAATCCAGCTGAGACACAAAAAGACACTCACTGAAGTACTTCCAGACAAAGAGGTAAGTGTGAACCAAGGCTAATTCATTACTAAATCAGCCAGGACCTTGTCCTCTTCAGGTGACCTCCAGCACAAGTGAGTCAGGCAGCACAGTGCAGTGGGAAAAGCAGACTTTAGAGCCAGGATTGCAAACGCAGGTGAGAGGCCACAGTGTGAGAACCCAGAGCAGCGCCCTCCCACTCTCATTGCTCAGCAGCTGCCCATGGGAGAATGCAGCCTGTGCTACCTGATAATCTCAGTCTTCCAGAGGAGCCAGCAATCCACATTTGCATGTGAAATCTCCCAGTGTAAATGTTAGCCACCCGCCCACAATATTTGAGAACACTATTCACTCCCAACAAAACATGTCTGCAGACAGGTGGCCTCTGAACCATGCAAACTCTGCTTTAGAGCCAGAAAGACCTGGACTTGAATCCCCATTTAACCACTTCCTAATGGTATCATGTTGGAGAAGTTCTCTGAGCTACATATCCTTACTTCCAGAATGAGAATAATAGTACCTATGCTCTATTGTTGGGTTGCTGTGCCATTGAATAATAGAGCACGAGCTGGGGGAAGGGAGTGGGCAGTTAGTATTGAATGGGGATACAGAGTTTGTTTGGGAAGATGAAAAAGTTCTGGAGATGGATGGTGGTGATGATTATACAACAATGAGAATGGACTTCTTGTCACTTAAAAATGGTTAAAATGGTAAGTTTTAAAAAAAATGGTTCTAAAGAACCTAGGAGCAGGACAGGAATAAAGACGCAGATGTAGAGAAGGGACATGAGGATATGGGGAGGGGGAAGGGTAAGATGGGACAAAGTGAAAGAGAAGCATGGACATACATAACACTACCAAACGTAAAATAGATAGCTAGTGGGAAGCAGCCGTATAGCACAGGGAGATCAGCTTGGTGCTTTGTGACCCCGCCTGGAGGGGTGGGATAGGGAGGGTGAGAGGGAGGGAGACGCAAGAGGGAGGAGATATGGGGACATATGTATATGTATAACTGATTCACTTTGTTATAAAGCAGAAACTAACACACCATTGTAAAGCAATTATACTCCAATAAAGATGTTAAAAAAATGTACCTACTTAAAAAAGAACGGTAAGTTTTACGCATATTTTATCACAATTAAAAAAAACAATTGTGAAAGCACCTAGCCCAGCTACTGACATAATGCTTAAAAGTCCACATCCTGGAATATGTACACTGATATTCTTCTTCATCCATAGAAAGGATGCAATTTGTAGCAGAAAATACAAAATTTATAGATTTATACAAAGAAAGTTTCAAGAATGTTTTTAGAATGCTGTGCAAATGGTCTAATGATCAGATAAAGTCTAAAGGGACAATTCCCTTTCCACCCAATCCTGATAAACCACAGTGACTGGACCTCACACCTGACCTTTTCCAATAGCAGCTGTGGCAAGGGGGAAAAGCCAGACAAGTTGACCAGCTCACCAGTTCTGAGAGTGGATGAATCTCTCTCTATTTTCAATCTAAAAAAAAGGAAACATGCTTATAAGCTATCTCTCAGAACTTGTCTAAGCAGCCTTATCAAGAAGAAAAGTTAACACAGTGTTAACCACAAATAAGAAAACGACCTGTAACAGTCATCTTGTACCAGATTACTGAAGTATATTAAAATGAATCAGAGTCTTGTCACTAAGAAACTAAGAGCTACTAAACCTTTTATGGACTTGTAAAGGCTTTTCAGAGATAAACTAATTATTTTAAATTCTGCTTCCAGTCTCTCTCAGTACCTTAACGGAAAGCAAAGATTGGGAGCTGTACCTCTCAAATCGTATTTTCTATGGAGAAGTTCCTGAATTCTGTAAAAAGCTAAGAAAGGCAGGAATTCTGGAATATAAAATGAGTACAAGTGCTGAACTGAATACGAATCTACTGCTTCTATTCTTTCTCCCTACTCTTCTCTCTACCTTCCATCAAAACAAAATCAGATTTTCAAAGGGATTTGACTTCAGTTAACAACACAAAAAACACCTAGGCTGCCCTCTGAGAGTATAACTTTGAAAATTTTGCAACCCAGCTCCTATCAAGGGCCTCACTGAAAGAAGAGGTACTTGAGGAAGATCACCTACACATTTGTTGTTCACGGTAGAACTAGATATTCTTAATGTTTTCCACCAATTCCTCAAAGGCTAAGTACATTGGACTGTGTTAGCTTATTTCCCTGGCAAATCACTTACCTTGACATTATGGTTATACCTTTACCTTTTATCAAGGGATTATTACAGAAAACAGCCATATAAATACTACTTATTTTTTTATTATAAGTGACTGTTGAGGACTTAGCCATTATATTTGCTCACTGGCCTCTGTCAGTCTCATATCAGAAAACACCTTTAGAAGTTAATTTCAGTACAATGTGGAATGCCTGATTAAGAACGAACAAGAGTGGAGGAACATTATTTCTCCCCTTTTGCCCTGACTTCCACTTGACTAAATACATAGCTTTTATAATCTGCTTTCACCTCCTTTCAGTTCTTGTTTACTACTTCTATTTTTATTATCCCTATAAGCTGTTTCTTAACACTTCAGCAGAGGTGGGTAAAGTTTACTTAATGAAGCTAAAATTCACAACACTTGACCCCTATACTAATGCTAATATGCACTGTTTGAAAAGAGATATTTCAAACAAAATTAGGTATCTACTATTAAAAGTTTCATTTTTAATACTATAAGATTCTTATTCGTCCTAAATTCATCTGAAAATGAGAGATACTGGAACTAGGATTATGGATTTTGTCAAAAAAGATTTAGAAACAGGGTCATGTCAGAATTTGAATACTAAAAATTTACACTTCTTAATAAACTTCACTTTAATCTTTCTTGACTGATAAATGGTTTCAAATTGGAATTTTAAATTGAAGCAATATGAAGCCTACTGAATAATACTTACAAATGAAAATTGAGATTGACCATTTAGAGAAACTAAAATTTCTAAAAAATAACAGCTACTTTGTTTATATTGGACAGTCTACATACTTCAATGGCAGTTTATTCTCTCGTGCCATTTTTGTATATTTTGTTTACACTAATACCATAATGACTCCAAAATGGCCATGAACTTTTGATAGGCTTGTGAACCAAAACCTAAACCTTAACTTCTGTTTCACTTTTTATAAGAATATTTTATTAATTTGTCCAATTTAAGATTATTTCTCTACTGCTCAATGTCTCCTTCCAAAGTCACACATTTCAATAAAGTTTAATTAGATATATAGATTTAATGTTGGGTTCCACTGTTGGGTTCTAGTGCTCTTATAAATTTTTTCCACTAAAAATCTCTACCAAAAAAGAGATTCTCCTGTTACTTTATGGTTTCATCTGCATAAGTAACATCCAGTGACTCCTTTTTTCCCATGGTTGTTATATTTTTAGATAAATCATAACTATATGTGAAATTTCAATTATATTCACCATATTAACTGCTTAATCAACTATGATTATAACCAAAAACAACTGAAATTACCTTATACCTGATTATTACCATTATAATTCATATTTACCATCATCTTTAAGGTGCTTCCAATTTGTCCCTTTTGTTGCTTTCTTACACATTTTATCCATTTGTGTCAATCTTAGTGCCTGGTCATTTTTCCTCATTAATTGTTGCTCAAATGCAATTCTGAATGCATCTGCCATTATGTAGGCTTCTTCTTTACTCTTCTGCAGAAGTTCCAACTGGTTTTGAAAGAAAGTTTGAGAGGTGTTAGAGGCAAAACCAGAACAATTCTTTCCTGAATGCTGAGTCAGATTAGCAAATGCAGTAGGAGTTTTCTGCCTGCCCTTGATCTATTGCATCCGCTTAATCTAATTACTACATGCCATTCTCTTCTGCAGTAGCTGCCCACTCTGAACTAGATTACCAGGAGTTTCTCTTGTGCCTATCAGTTACCTGGTAATCCTACTCTTAGACCTCATTATCCTAGACGGGCCTCGTGTATGTCCTGCCCAACGAGGAAGAAGGGAGGATGCCAACGGCTGCATTTCAGTTCTGCCTTGGGCCATGCCAGAAAATACCACTGAAAACAATTATGAATACCATCTTTCAGATACCACCCACAGCTGACTCTGATCTTTGTAATCTTATGCTTTTCCTGATGAATTGCTAATGTTTAGCTGTTTGCTTTCATATATACTCTGAAGACTAAATTCCAAACCTTCAATAAAAACGTTTTAAAAATTACGGTCCATACTGTATTTGTTGTGAAAGCCTAATTATAATGGCAGCTATCATTTGATTAAATGCCAGGCATGGCCCAGTGCTAAACATTATATGTCTACCGTGTTTATTTTTGACAACAACCCTCCAAACTAGTTATTAGCCTCCATTTAACATACGCGTCCAAAGCCACAAAGCTGGAAAATGATGGAGCTGAGATTCAAACCTAGGTCTGGCTGGCACAAAGGTTCCTTCAACTGTACCTTGCAGCTTTTCTAATAAGCTTCATGTTTATCTCTCGGCTAATCGGTGTTGCACATCCTGGCGATTTTAAGCATGTGTGCCTTTTCCTCTAATATCTAGTAATTTTAGGGCCATGTATAGACAAAAGAAATATGAACTTAGGAAATATTAACTAAAACACAGGCAAACAACTTTTCATGGCTGCAATATCGTGCCAAGTAATGTAAATAAAATCCAGTTTATATGTTAATGTTATTTAAAACTAAGAATAAGTTCCACAGCCAAAGACTACCAAATTAAGCTAATTATTACATATACTTCTATTTATTCTACTTTGTGTTAATGGAGAAGCAAAACCAAAGCTTTTACTGTTTTGATAACACAATACCTCCTGTTTGACCTGAAGGAGCATTTTCCGAGTAGATGCTGCCAGTCTGGCACAGGTACAGGGGCTCCCTCTGGGACCGTGACAAAGGCAGGCTCCCAGGACTGCAAGCTTTAAATCCAAAAGAATTATCCGTTACTAAGTGTCACGTTGCTCAGCCGTACACAAACACGGGGCGCACACACAAACCCATGCACATTTTATTCAAGCACCTAATTCAAAGAAACTGCAAAGGAAAACAAAAATAGGAAGCTGAGACCATGATTTCAGGACCCAAGGGGAAATTTACAAATGAGGAGAGACTGTTATTACTTGGAACAAAAATACACAGGAATTCTGCATTCCTTCTGCTCACGCTCCAAAACCTTTCACTTAGTACCAGTTTCCTGTACTTCTGAGTTCTTGGCAGGAACTTGACCTAACGAAGTAAATCTAAACATCCACAATATGGATTTCCTGTAACTGGGTTTGGCCTTGCTACCCAGCATTCATTACTGTCAGGTCCTGCCAGGAGAGATGCATGCTCAGAAATGATGAGTGAATTCTAAGGAAAACAATCATCCTGCCACTCCTAAAAAAATGGTCTATGATCATGTAATAAATTCTTAATATATTTCTTGGCTCATCCACTGTTCTGGAATTGCATATGGCCCTGATCCTTCAAAACCTGTCTTTGGATCACAATGAAGAAACTAATCCATGTGGGTCACTCCTGGTTGACCACTGTAGCCAGAAGAAAAGTAAGAACTGTTGTACTTTTTTTTTTTTTTTTTTTTGCGGTACGCGGGCCTCTCACTGTTGTGGCCTCTCCCGTTGTGGAGCACAGGCTCCGGACGCGCAGGCTCAGCAGCCATGGCTCACGGGCCCAGCCGCTCCGCGGCAATGTGGGATTTTCCCAGACCGGGGCACGAACCCGCATCCCCTGCATCAGCAGGTGGACTCTCAACCACTGCGCCACCAGGGAAGCCCTGTTGTACTTTTTTTAAAAAACCCATTTTGGCAACTAACCACAAGTTGCTTTCCCAAAATATTCCAACAGCTTCCAATTTAATGGAGGCGGTCTATGTAACATATTGTGCCATATCTTATAAAGTTTCATGTGGAACATACTACAAAATTATTGTCTAAGCTTCCTGCTGCTATAAATTTCACATGGACTGGCTTAAAACAGAATCTTATTTTAGAGACTGTTTAGAGAGGAAGATTCCACGGTCTCTCTTAGTGTAAAGGCTATTTCAGAAAATTCCTTCTTGCATTAATGATAACTGTGAAGTACACAGTGAGCTTTCAGTTGACTCAAGTGTACAAATGGCGGCTATGTGGCAGATTGGTATCTTCCCTTTTCAACTTCCCGCTCCTGATAATCGCCCCTGCGAAAGTTGCCAAAAGCAACTTAAGACCTGGGTAGGGCCAATATAAAAATGCAAGGTTTCTGCAAGGACCTCTGCATCCTAATTCTATGTCCTTAGCTCAGTGCTCCTTCATCACCTGGCTCAGGGCCCACGTTCTTGCCTGCCATAACGTTACTTAGAGCCTACTCAAGATTATAATAAAGCACGCTTTTTCTGAACTTTCTCTCCACTCAGTTACTTTTATTTTTCTTTTTTTTGCTATTACACTAGTTTTCCACCCAGGCAGTAGAGCATGGTGATCAAAAGCACAGACTCTAAACTCTACCTGGGTGTAAATCCCAGCTCCACCACTTAGTAGCTTTCTGACTTTGGGCAAATCACTTAAACCTTCTGTGCCAAAATTACCTCATTTGTAAAACAGGGATTTAATTGTACTCACCTTATTTGGTAGTTGTGAGAATTAAATGTGTTAATCTATGTGAATCACTTAGTGTCTGGCACTTACTAAGGACTATGTATTTGCTATTATTAGTACTAGTTGCTTTATTTGAAATTCTATAATAAGTGAATGGCTACCCCTTCTCACTCCACTGGTACGCTTATTTCTCATGAGTCCCCAGGACATTTGTAAGACATTTCACACCTCAGCAAGCAATTAGCAATGCATCAGCAGATCTTTGTCCTGGACCTGGTTCAACCCCAGAGTGACTGCATCACTTTGGGAAAGTAACCAAAACTATCTGAGCCTGAGTTTCCTCCTCTGTAAAATGGGGATAATACCTGCTTTGCAGCCCTCAAAAGACCATTACGAAGATCAGATTAAAAAATGTGTGGCAAAGTACTCTGATGCTGTAAGCCTCTACCCAGGGAAGATACTACTAACATACTTTCTGCTAAAGCTGTAGAAAAAGGAAATAAAAGGGACAGGAAGTGGCTAGCACATCCCCTAATGTCCAAGAATGCTGTGCCTGAAAGGTATGGTACCAGCACGGCTGAAGAGTGGACCTGGGCCTCTCTCACCCTCGGTCTCAAATTGCTAAGTATGGTTCTATCCTAGAAGTGGAGGTGATGGCGACAGCAGAAAGAAAATGGAAGTGGAAAATTTCCCTCCTACTAAACTTTCATACCTGCTTACCTACCTCAAGACCTGAAACCTCTGTAAAGCCACTTGTGTCCTGGCATGTGTTTTCCCGAGCCATCTTCTGCTGTTTGATATCAAGCATGGCGAGGGCCTCCAAATACTGTTGATTCAAAACTAGGAAGGGCCATGTAAGAAAGTGTTAGGAGGTCTAACCCCAGCCTCACCTAATCCAGTTAAACCAACACCGCATACTTCTTCTAAGCAAGGGATATACAACTACCCACAAAATCTGTCTCCAACCAGAAAATTTGATAGAATAGTGGGTATCAAGTGAGTTAAAACTAGATAAAATGTTATTTTTAATGTGGAAATAATTTTGCAACCAAAGTCTGGTCTTCATTTGCTCAAAGAAACTTTGTAGGATTTTCAAAAGGAGAACATACAAAGGCTAATTATCCACACTGTGAGACGATCAGATGATGAAATCGCATATATCGTATTAAAGTCAACTCTACCAGCTCTCCAAACTCTATCAGACTTTTCTTTTAGTCAGTTTTCACAAGAGGCTCTCAACGCAAATATTTAGAACAAGAGGGGTCCTGCTACTTACTGGAAAGCAGAATAACAGTAACTTTCCCTCTCTTCTTATAGGGTGGAAGGATAGGGAGGAAGGGACAGGAGTAGTGGTTATGAGCAACTTCTGTCCTGGCACCAACCTAACATGGGGGAAATCACTATCTGCTCAAATCACTGGTGTGGAGAAGCATATCTGTGTGTGCAGTTCTCACCCAGGGGACTGCCACAGTTCACTTACTACACCATGTAAAGTGCCGCTCTCGGGCCCATGACCTGACTGAGCACTCATTTTATGCCTTTCAAGCCACCACTTTAAAAGAGTTTCTGCTGGGAATTCCCTGGTGGTCCAGTGGTGAGGGCTCCGGGCTCTCACTGCCAGGGGCCCAGGTTTGATCCCTGGTCAGGGAACTAAGATCCCACATGCCACATGGTGTGGCCAAAAAAAAGATTTCTAAAAAGTTGGTACCACATTAATACTCTTTCATTAACTTTTGTCATATAGTGACTCATTATATAAAAGATATGCTCTGTGTGTGTGTGTATATACACATACATCTATATAATTTCAAGTCCTTAATGAGTCAAATAATATTTTGAAAAATATTTGTATTTGTGACAAAGTCACAGAAGACACTTTTATGAGAAAAAATTACGAATAACTATACAATTTTATACTTTTCCTACTAGATTCCCAATAAACATACACCTACTCAGGTTCCTCAGACATCAGGTACTCTACCATTTTGTTTACACTGAGTATAAAAACTAAAGGATAAAGGGAGAATCAGGAGAAATTGCTTGATGGGTATAAGGTTTTATTTTGTAGTCATGGAAACGTTTTAGAACTAGATGTTTATAAGCGTTATGAATTGTTCACTTTTAAATGGTTTAAGTTAGGTGAATTTCACCTCAAATTTTTTTCTAATTCGAAAACCTAACTGATCAAACCCACAGACAACATCGTTCTCAATGGTGAAAAACTGAAACCATTTCCTCTAAGATCAGGAACAAGACAAGGTTCTCCACTCTCACCACTATCATTCAACATCGTTTTGGAAGTTTTAGCCACAGCAATCAGAGAAGAAAAAGAAATAAAAGGAATCCAAATCAGAAAAGAAGAAGTAAAGCTGTCACTGTTTGCAGATGACATGATACTATACATAGAGAATCCTAAAGGTGCTACCAGAAAACTACTAGAGCTAATCAATGAATTGGTAGAGTAGCAGGATACAAAATTAATGCACAGAAACCTCTTGCATTCCTATACACTAATGATGAAAAATCTGAAAGGGAAATTAAGGAATAACTCCCATTTACCACTGCAACAAAAAGAATAAAATACCCAGGAATAAACCTACCTAAGGAGAAAAAAGACCTGTATGCAGAAAACTATAAGACACTGATGAAAGAAATTAAACATGATACAAACAGATGCAGAGATATATACCATGTTCTTGGATTGGAAGAATCAACATTGTGAAAATGACTATACTACCCAAAGCACTCTACAGATTCAATGCAATCCCTAACAAACTAACAATGGCATTTTTCACAGAACTAGAACAAAAAATTGCAGAATTTGTATGGAAACACAAAAGACCCCAAGTAGCCAAAGCAATCTTGAGAAACAAAAACAGAGCTGGGGGAATTAGGCTCCCTGACTTCAGACTATACTACAAAGCTACAGTAATCAAGACAGTATGGTATTAGCACAAAAACAGAAATAGAGATCAATGGAACAAGAGAGAAAGCCCAGAGATAAACCCATGCACCTATGGTCACCTTATCTTTGATAAGGAGGCAAGAGTATACAATGGAGAAAAGACAGCCTCTTCAATAAGTGGTGTTGGGAAAACTGGACAGGTACATGTAAAAGGATGAAATTAGAACACTTCCTAAAACCATACACAAAAATAAACTCAAAATGGATTAAAGACCTAAATGTAAGGCCAGACACTATAAAACTCTTAGAGGAAAACAGGCAGAACGCTCTGACATTGACATAAATCACAGCAAGATCCTTTTTGACCCACCTCCTAGAAAAATGGAAATAAAAATAAACAAATGGGGACTTCTCTGGTGGCGCAGTGGTTGAGAGTCCGCCTGCTGATGCAGGGGACACGGGTTCGTGCCGGGGTCCGGGAAGATCCCACATGCCGCAGAGCGGCTGGGCCCGTGAGCCATGGCCGCTGAGCCTGCGCGTCCGGAGCCTGTGCTCTGCAACAGGAGAGGCCACAACAGTGAGAGGCCTGCGTACCACAAAAACAAAATAAACAAATGGGACCTAATGAAACTTAAAAGCTTTTGCACAGCAAAGGAAACCACAAACAAGACAAAAAGGCAACCCTCAGAATGGGAGAAAATATTTAAAAACAAAGCAACTGACAAAGGATTAATCTCCAAAGAATATACAAGCAGCTCATGCAACTCAATATCAAAAAAACAAACAACCTGGACTTCCCTGGTAACACAGTGGTTAAGAATCCGCCTGCCAATGCAGAGGACACGGGTTTGATCCCTGGGCCGGGAAGATCCCACATGCCATGGAGCAACTAAGCCCGTGCACCACAACTACTGAGCCTGTGCTCTAGAGCCCATAAGCCACAACTACTGAGCCCACACGCCACAACTACTGAAGCCCAGGCGCCTAGAGCCCGTGCTCCGCAACAGGAGAAGCCACTGCAAGTGAGAAGCTCGCGCACTGCAACGAAGACGCAACGCAGCCAAATTAATTAATTAATTAAATTCAAAAAAGAATCCAAAAATGGGCAGAAGACCTAGATAGACATTTCTCCAAAGAAGATATACAGATTGCCAACAAACACATGAAAGGATGCTCAACATCACTAATCATTAGAGAAATCCAAGTCAAAACTACAATGAGGTATCACCTCACACCAGTCAGAATCATCAAAAAATCTACAAACAATAAATGCTGAAGAGGGTGTAGAGAAAAGGGAACCCTCTTGCTCTGCTGGTGGGAATGTAAATTGATACAGCCACTATGGAGAACAGTATGGAGGTTCCTTAAAAAACTAAAAGTAGAACTACCAGATGACCCAGCAATCCCACTACTGGGCATATACCCTGAGAAAACCATAATTCAAAAAGAGTCATGTACCACAATGTTCATTGCAGCTCTATTTACAACAGCCAGGACATGGAAGCAACCTAAGTGTCCATCGACAGATGAATGGATAAAGATATGGCACATATATACAATGGAATATTACTCAGCCATAAAAAGAAATGAAACTGAGTTATTTGTAGTGAGGTGGATGGACCTAGGGTCTGTCATACAGAGTGAAGTAAGTCAGAAAGAGAAAAACATATACCATATGCTAACACATATATATGGAATCTAAAAAAAAAAAATAGTTCTGATGAACCTAGGGGCAGGACAGGACACAGACGTAAAGAAGGGACTAGAGGACACGGGGAGTAGGAATGGTAAGCTGGGACGAAGTAGAGAGTAACACTGACATATATACACTACCAAATGTAAAACATAGCTAGTGGGAAGCAGCTGCATAGCACAGGGAGATCAGCTCGGTGCTTTGCAACCACCTAGAGAGGTGGGATAAGGAGGGTGGGAGGGAGATGCAAGAGGGAGAGGATAGGGGGATATATGTATACATGTAGCTGATTCACTTTGTTATACAGCAGAAACGAACACAACATTGTAAAGCAAGTATACTCCAATAAAGATGTTAAAAAAAAAACCTAACTGATGCATTTCTTCTCTTTTATCCTGAAAATATGTTACTTCAAAATATTAGCACTTTGTCTATTGATATTTTGTTCTTAACATAGGACATTCTATATAAAACTGATCTTTTAACATAGTATTTTTAAAGAATTATCAAAATACCACTCTACTTACTTGTATTTTCAGACTTGAGCATTTTAATTTCTTCTGTTTTCAGTTTCAAAGTTTCTTTGAGGACTGCATTTTCACAATTTAGCCTGGAAAAAAGTACCCTCCAAGTAACTAAAACATTAATACTTTGTAGGTGAATGAGAATATTTAATCCCATAATTAGAACATGAAAACTCTAATATAATTTTTCTTACATCAAAACAGTCTAGAATTTATATATGTAATAAAATAAAAATTTAAAGGAGTGTGGTTAGACTTTGAACTTACTCTTAACCCTTCTGTATACTTAGCTGAGAAAGTATGAGAACCAGAAATACCTCTAAGTCATCTATTTTGAACATTCATTCTCTTTACTAAAGTTTCAATCAAGTTAATAACCATTTGAACACCAACTACATGCTTAGGTCACCTTCCAAAATTTGCATAAAAAGATACATAGGGAGGTACAAACTTCCAGTTGTAAAATAAATAAGTCCTGGGGATGCAATGTACAGCATGAAGCCTGTAGCTAACAATTATTGTACAGTATTTGAAAGCTCCTAAGAGAGTAGACCTTAAAAGTTCTCAACATAAGAAAAAAACTGTAATGATGTACATCAATGAATATTAACTAGATTTATTGTGATGATCATTTTGCAACATATACAAATATCAAATCATTATATTGTACATCTGAAACTAATACACTGTTATATGTCAATCATACCTCAATTTAAGAAAAAGATACATAGGGAGCTTTACCTATTGAATGAAAATTGGAATTACTTACGAGAGTTCCTAAATTGCCCACCATCGGGACTTCCCTGGTGGTGCAGTGGTTAAGAATCCGCCTGCCAATGCAGGGGACATGGGTTCGAGCCCTGGTCCGGGAAGATCTCACATGCCGCAGAGCAACTAAGCCCACAAGCCACAGCTACTGAGTCCACGTGCCACAACTAGTGAGCCCACGTGCCACAACTACTGAAGCCCGCACACCTAGAGCCCATGCTCCGCAACAAGAAAAGCCACTGCAGTGAGAAGCCCATGCACCACAACGAATAGTCCCCACTCTCAGCAACTAGAGAAGGCCTGCACACAGCAATGAAGACCCAACACAGCCAAAAATAAGTAAATAAATAAATAAATTTATAAAGGGAAAAAAAAAAGGTGCTTTATTCCTCAAGGGCTATAGACATTGCTTGAGAAACTGATTTCAGGTTTTATTAATTTGTAGGTAATTCATGGAAAGGGAATGTCTTAGATTTACATTTTTTGTTTTTTAGATATAACTGACATATTACATTAGTTCAGGTGTACAACACAATGACTCAACACCTGTACACATCACAAAATGTTCACCACAATACAGTCAACATGTGTCACATACATGGATACAGAATTTTTTTTTTCTTGTGATGTGAACCATATTTCACTTTTAATTGAGAAACTTTAACTTCGTGACCACCGTTTTAATGATACGAGGCCTGTCCCAAGCACAGCATGTAATATTCCCTAGGAATATCATGTCTTGGTAGGTATTTTATTTAAAGTTATAAATTAGACCAGATGATCTGGTGACCGTTTTTAATTACAATTCAGGCTAAATTTAATTCAGGCTAAAAACAAAACTGTAAACAAATATGGAACTCTAGTTAATGGGTCTGATTTTACAATGGTATGTATTAGCAATTCTAAAGTTACTTTCTGTATAGTCTGTGATGGAACAAATAAGTAAACATACAGGGTAACTGGAGCCAGGTGTCTCCTTGTGGGACTTACAAATGCAGAGAGGGGCAAAGCTAAGATGAACCCTGTGGTGGTGGTCTGCAATTGGAGATATGAGTATGATCTCATTGAAACGTGACAGATACATACATACATAAATGATAAAGAGACAGGTAGATAGATGATAAATCAATGACACAGAAAGACAGATAGATAGATGTATATATATGTGTGTCTGCATCTGTGTATTTTCCAGCTCTGTCCTCTGAGAGGAACTTCATGCAGTGAATCCTCAGTAGTAATGAGCACACCTGGCACTCAGATCTTGATTTCTAAACACCATTCCCCATTAAAAGGAACTGCTGCTCCTTGAAGAGATACCTAATATTGTAGGCATACTGGCCTAGAATATCTTGTACCAGGAAGCAAGAAAGTGCTCAGAGAAAAATAAACGTCAAAAAGTCACAGGAACACCTGTGCCTGATGGGGCTCCCACTGACCGAAGCTGGAAAATTTTAAGCATCAAAAGAAATTATGGTAGTAATAGCTTTTAACCCACTGAATAATGCAAGAATCCTTGAATCCGTATTGGTATAAACAAACAAATGAGAAGGAAAAACTCTTTTTTACAGTAAAATGCCAACATACAAATGTAGAAGGAAGAAGGGAATTAGAAAATTACCATTTGGCAACATTGTAGTAATAATTGCTTCAGGTAGAATATCAGTGGATACAAAAACGAGGGGGTGAAAAGTCTGCTGAGTCACGGTATAGTTACATAATTTTCAAGTATCTCTCCACAAGATGCTTATTAATTACAAGGGGAAAAACAGTGACTTAATAGTGGAGAATGAGGGCAGACGCCATACCTTAACCGAGTGATCAAGATTCACATCCTAGGAATAGGACAAATCAGCACCACATGCCTCCTGATGTGATGGACTAAGAATACACTGCTTCAGTGGTAATATTGCCCAAAATGCACAACCCAATTCAAGCCAGAAGCATCAGATACCCTCATTGTAGGATATTCTATAAAATAATGGGCCTGTCCGCCTCAAAATAATGTAAAGGTTATAAAAGATAAACACTGAAGAACTGTTTCAGATTAAAGGAGACTAAAATTTAGACATGACAACCAAATGCAACATGTGGTTCTGGACTGGTCCTGAACAGGGGAAATTGTTTTTTCTCTTTTGCTCTAAGAACATTATTAAGATAGTTGGTAATATAAAGAATAATATAACATTATTAAGATAATTGGTAATATAGCTGGCACATTAAATAATAGTATTGGGTTAAGGTCTTGATTTTTATAACTATATTATGTTATAAACGAGAACGTCCCTTTTTAAAAAAAATACAAACTGAAGTATTTAGAGTAACGGGACCCTATATATGCACAATGGTTCAGAAAATATTACCTCTATATTTATGTATTTAACTACAAAGAGAGCGAAAGAAAGGAAAAAAGAATGATAAAGTAAATGTGATAAAGAGTTAAAATTTGGAGAATCTCGGTGAAAGATATATAGGAGTTGTTCTATTCTTACAACTGTTCTGTAAGTCTTCAATTATCTCAAATTAAGAGTTAAGAAGTAATAAATCTTAAAATTAGGTACTAAAGCCATCTATAACCCCAGATACCAAATCAATTTCTCAGTGATTAAATTATAGCATATTCATAAGGTCAAAGTTATTAAATAAATTCACACTAATACAAGAGTTGCTCAAAAGACTTTGAAAAAACAGTGCAAGGCTAAAATAACTTGGGAAACATGGCTCTTAAACTGTATTTTAATATACAGTTTATACTAGTTTTTAAAGAAAGAAAATTAACAGTAACAGTAAAATATGGAACTGGTAAGTGGGTAAGCAATATGAATCTTATTTTATTTTATTTTTTTTTGGCTGTGCCACGTGGCTTGCAGTATCTTAGTTCCCCGACCAGGGATTGAACCCAGGCCATGGCAATGAAAGCACCAAGTCCTAACCACTGGACAACCAGGGAATTCCCTGAATTTTATACTTAGTGTGCTCAAAAAAGAAGAAAGCCTAAGCTACATTTGAATTATACACAGTTTAAAAATTTCCAAAGAAAAATTATGGAATAATAATATACAAACCTGTCATATCTTTGGATCCAAGATTCCTCTATATTTTTAAATCTATTGCGATCAAATTCTATTTCCCACTGCAAGGCATTTATTTCCTATAGAAAAAAATAGCACTTTCAAGGAAATTACTACAAATAAATCATTTCATGACTTTTGAATATCTGAAATAAATCATTTAGTCACTTCACAGAAATAGGTTAAAGACAAAAAACTAATTACTACTCAAAAAGAGTCTATGATGTTTATAAACACATATGACACGCCTCTTTAGCACTCAAAAAGCTTTGCTGAAACTTACTTATTATAGGGAACATTTCAAATTTGTTGCCCTGAACCTAGATTTCTCATTGTCCCCAACCCATGCAGACCCCAACATATACTCCTGGAAGTCTGAGCCCAGGACACTCCCACCAAGGGAGAGTAAAACAGGAATAGGAAGATGACCATCTAGGGTGATTCTTAACTACCTTTTTAGTGAAGATGAGATGATCAGAAAGAGGCAGGCTCTGCAGGGCAAGCAGGAGAAGAAAAATAGGAAAAGAAGAAAAACAGGAAGTGTCGATTTGGCAGGCTTAGCCCATGTGACAATCTGTTTTGGATTATAAGCTCCAAAAGGGAAGCGACAGTATGAAGTTGAAGTACACCTAGCAGAGGGTATGCACAAATGACATATCCACTGGTACGGTGATTTTTAAGGGAATTCTATTTGAAAGCTTATTGAATTGAACAAGTCTACACTATACGCTATATGTGGTCAAATACCTTCTCCAAGGATCTCTTTTGTTCCACAGTTTTTTGAAGCACTGCCTGGGTATGACTTGTGGCTTTGCCAAATATTGCCTAAGAAAAATAAAGATTGTAACAGTATAAATTAAATTTCCAATCATCCTTATATGCAAGGTGAAGTTCACATTTTTATTTTAAGACAGTAGAAAAGTACCTTGAGATGAGATTCCCACAGAGACCTTTTGTATAGAGTTTGATAGTTCAAAAGTCAGAAGATCTTGGTTTGGTTCTTTCCCAATGAACGTGAGAATGAATGAATGGATTTCGCACACAAGGACATGTACATGAACATTCATAGCAGCATTATTCATAATAGCCCAAAATACCTATCAACTGGTAAATGGATAAACAAAATGTGGCATATCTATATAATGGAATATTATCTGGCAATAAAAAAGGAAGAAAGCACTGACACATGCTACAACATGCATGAACCTTCAAAATACGCTAACTGTAAGAATCAAGAGGCAAAAGAATCTAGATAGATACTGTATGGTTCTATTTATGAAATAGAAAAGGCAAAGCTATAAAGCAGAAAGTAGATTAGTGGTGGCTGGGGATGGGAATGGGAATAACTGCTAATGGGTAAGAGGTTCCTTTTTTGGGGTGATGGAAATGTTCTAAATTAAGTTGTGATGATAGTTACACAATTCTAAGTTTAGTAAAAATAAATTGCTTAAAACAAGTGAAATTCATGACGTTAAGTTATATCTTAATAAAGCTGTTTTAAAAATCTATAGCTCAAAAAAAAAAAACTATATTAAACACTGATGCTTTTATTTTAAAAGCTATAACCAGGGAGTTCCCTGGTGGTCTAGTGTTCAGGATTCGGCACTTTTACTGCCATGGCCCGGGTTCAATCCCTGGTTGGGGAACTGAGATCCGGCAAGCTGTGCAGCATGGCCAAAAATATAAAAATAAAATTAAATTAAAAAATAAAAGATAAAACCATACTACCTATCATTGGAATGTGTACCTGATGAAAGTGTAAAAGTAACTTCTTACATTGCTTTGAAGAATTCTCAATGCTTCCTCTTTACCTTCAAGATGTCTTTGAGATGCCTCAAGTTCAGTTTTCAAAATTTCTACCTCCTGAGGAGAAAAATACAATTAGTCTTCCTATCTGTGAGATATGCAACCCCAAATGATCAATTTAGACAGTCTACATTTAAGCTCAACATTCACTTTGACTCAAAGTGCTCTGACCTTACAAAATGAGGTTGGAAATTCCTCCAGGCTTTATAAGTGGACCAGAGAGGCTAAAACTGAGATGCTCGCTGTCAGGTGCCAGTTATGACTAAAAGCCCAAATCTTTTGCTTTTACCCATCTAGGCCACACACACAGTTAATAATTTGGAGGAAAAGCTTTAGACCACATAAAATAAGAACATGATCTGCTACACAGGCTACAGTAGCTATTATAGGTAGAACCGTGCCCCCCATCCCAAAAGATATGCTCAAGTCCTAACCCCTGGTACCATAAATTCGACCTTATTTGGAAATAGGGTCTTTGCAGATGTAATTAATGTCATACTAGATTACAGTAGGCCTCAATCCAATGACTGGTGTGACGCAAGCCAAAGGTTGTTGGCGGCAACCGCCAGAAGCTAGGAGGTGGTAAAGGATTCTCCTCTAGACCCTTCAGAGGGAACACGGCCCACCCACATCCTGATTTCAGACCTCTAGCCGCCATAGCTGAGAGAGAGTCGATCTGCTCTTTTTTTTTTTTTGCGGTACGAGGGCCTCTCACTGTTGTGGCCTCTCCCGTTGCAGAGCAGAGGCTCCAGTCGCGCAGGCTCAGTGGCCATGGCTCACAGGCCCAGCCGCTCCGCGGCATGTGGGATCTTCCCGGACCGGGGCACGAACCCATGTCCCCTGCATCGGCAGGCAGACTCTCAACCACTGCGCCACCAGGGAAGCCGCGATCTGCTCTTTTAAGACACCCGTTTGTCAGGGCAGCCCTAGGAAACCAGTAGAGTAGCGGTCACCAGAAGAGATACAAAGGCACAGTAAGGGAGTTCCCTGGAGGTCCAGCAGTTAAGACCCCATGTGTCCACTGCAGGGGGCCTGAGGTTCGACCTCTGGTCGGGAAACTAACATCCCACATGCTACGGCCAAAACAAAACCCAAAAAGACAAACAAAAAAAACAAATGCACTCGAAGACGGGCTTTCTGTTCCTGAAAGGACAAGCACCCTCATAGAAACTCCAACTCCCAGCAAGATGGATGGTCTCCTCAGACCCGCTGGGGTACTTTCTAGTCCTCTGACTTCAAAGAGGTTCAATTAAGTCAGGTTATTTCAAGTCACACATACTGGGAAGACAGATGGAAGGGAGTGATTATTTTCTCCAGGAGGAGATTAGAGAAATACGTTGGAAAGGAGAACAGGAGGGCATGTTTATATGAACGGCCTTTCGGAGAGATGAGGCGACGAAGCCACTGAGATGCGGAGGCCAGTTGGAAGCTATGAGCTTGACAGTGTGGCCCGAGAATCTCTGGAAAGCCAACAGTTGACTTCCATACCATGTTAGTAATACACAAAATATCTATCAGTGGACTTTATTCACATGAGAATTTGTATGTTAGCCAGAGGACCTACCTCTAAAGTTTCCTGAAGACGTTGCCTTAATTCCACATTTGACAACTCTGAATTAGAATCTACTAGAGGGAAAAAAAAATTAAATATTGTCTTTAGCTAGTTAAATACGGGACATTTGTTTACAAAATATCAAATACAGCCTTTCCCTAAATTGAAACGAGAAAATAACTGTAATAAACCAAATGACGATAAAAACAGACAGCTTAGAACATTCCACAAATGAAAAGACACATACTTTTGAATCGAAAGACTCTTAAAAAAAAGGACTCTAAAATAAAACTGTTGTTAACGAATTGGTTACTTACTATATCCAAACACAGTATTAATGAATGTTGGTGAGTAAAGTAAATAAATTTTGGTGTTTGGCTTAAGCCTGATCAGTATCGTGATATGAATATCTAAGAAATAACCTGAATTTAATTTCTTTCCAAGGAGAATCACTAGAAGTCTCCAGTAACTTCAATTATTCTCTCCTTAATGGGATCGATCAACTGAGACATTAATCTGGGCTTCCCAGGAACTTCATTTACATTGCAGTTTCACTGGCAATAGAAAAACATTGAAGTGATAAATTATAGCAAGAGAACAGGAAGTAAAAAGAAGCAAAAAAATTTAGAAAGAATATTTTGAAGGACATTAAAAATTTCTCAAAACAATTCTTTTCTTTGCTATTCTGAACTTTCATCAACATGACAGTAACCAAGGGAAAACCTAAGTCATGTTTTTACTCTGATAATTCAGAGTTCCAATGAGGGACAAAAGTGACATTGGGGAACTTCCCTGGCGGTCCAGTGCAGGGGGCATGGGTTCAATCCCTGGTCGGGGAACTAAGATCCTGCATGCAGCATGGTGTGGCCAAAAATAAAAAAATAAAATTTTTAAAAAGTAACACTGGGTTGACAATGACAAGTTCTATTCTATTAACACCTGTGGTAGGCAGAATAATGGCCCCCAAAGATGTCCACATCTTAATCCCAGCACCTGTGAATACCTAGCAAAAAGGATTTTGCAGGTGTGATTAAATATTTGGAGATAGAAGATTATTCTGGATTACCCAGGTCCTTATAAATGAAAGAAAGAGGCAGGGGAGTCAGTATCAGCATGAGGCAGCGGGAGAAGTGGCTGTGAAGACGGAGGAAGGGTACCATGGCCAGGGAAGGCAGCCTCTAGAAGGTGGAAAAGACAAGGGAGCGGGTTCTCCCCTAGAGCCTCCAGAAGGGAGGCAGCCATGCCAACACCGTGATTTTAGTCCAGTGAAACCTGTTTTGGATTTTTGACCTACAGAACTGTAAGAGAATAAAATTTATGTTGTTTTAAACCATTAAATTTCTGGTAGTTTGGAAACTTCCTATTTGCAAGAGGAAACTAACACAATATTCTCACCTAGGATCAAGTCAACTTTGATAAAAAGACAAAAGTCAATAACTCAAAAAATATAGGAGCTCATACCATTACTATTACTTCTTGTTTATATCCCAGTAGTTTCCTCACATTTTTGTAAAGGCATCTTAGCATAATGTTCAATTTTCAACATTTTGCTTGCAAAACAGTATCCATCCTCTATGCATGATAAGGACTTGGAAGAAAAATATATAAATAATCCCATCCTAATTTCAAGAAGGATTTTGAAGGACAGAGATCGATCCCCAGCTGCACCATGTTTTCGTAAATCTGAAATGTTTCTTAAATTATTTTCATGTTGTTCTAATTGTGTTTGTTCCACTTTGGTGGGGAAGTTTTACAATGTGGATTACAAAAGATTCAGCCACACCAGAGCTGTACCTCAGTGCAGGCTGGGACTCATCCACCAGTTCCGGGTCACTTCGCAGTTGTAACATTCTATCACAATGTGATTCTGAATTTTATTCTCTCCTTAGTGTACAGCACAATTTATTTTTACTTATGATAAATTAATTTTGTTTTGAGAATTTTATGACATCCCTAAAATAACCTGAAGCCTGTGTGTTCTGCCTGTAACACTCCTTCCCCAGATGAGCATCAGGCTTGCAGTGCTCCAATGTGACCTCTCCTTTTGTGGTATGCGGGCCTCTCACTGTTGTGGCCTCTCCCATTGCGGAGCACAGGCTCCGGGCGCGCAGGCTCAGCGGCCATGGCTCACGGGCCCAGCCGCTCCGTGGCATGTGGGATCTTCCTGGATCGGAGCACGAACCCGCGTCCCCTGCATCGGCAGGGGGACTCTCAACCACTGCACCACCAGGGAAGCCCAATGTCACCTCTCTTGTCCTGTGCCTCAAACAGCAGCGCCCTAGCCCCTCCACTCACTCACTGTCTTTTCACGTATCACTGCCTGATGTTACATAGCTGTTGATTTGCAGGTTTATTTTCTGTCTGCTCTACCAGAATGTGAACTCCATGACATTAGAGCCTTTGACTATTTTATTTACTGATGTTATTCCCAGAGTCTGGTACTGTGCTGGGCACTTAACAGGTACCCAATAAATGTTTGTTGAATAAGACAAAAAAAGAACAAATGAAGTATACCACTACTTCATAAGAAAAGCAAGGTAAGTAATTACTTATTGATATAACTAACATATGTATTGATGCAGAATAATTACTGTACTTCACAATTTGTATAATACGTGCAGACAGAAACATCACTTTTACCATCACCAATCAACCTCTAGAGGTGAATGAAGATAAATTTCTAAAATCCACGATGGTGACCCATCTTCATGTGTTGGGAGGCGGAGAGCATTGGTAAAATCCACAGGGCAGAAAAGAGAAGGAGAAAGAAGATGCTGGGCATTCTTACCAGTGCTACTTTGTCGGCCGTGACAGGGAATCTGGGGTCCTTCCGGGTATGTATCATGCAAGCTCTTATGCTTGGAATACTGAAAAACGGCACTGTTTCTTTCTTCCCCATTTCTTGAAAACGGGGGAGGACTAAAGGCCTTTCCATCTGATCTTTTTCTAGATGTAAATACATGTGAAACTTGCACTTCATAAATGCCGCCGGGCCTTCTTCTGAGGCCATACCCTAAATCGCCTTCTGCCATGTCATCGTCCTCTGCTTCCCAGGCCTGCCCCTCTGCCTCACTCGGCGGCCTCGCCTCCCTGCTCATCAGCCACGTGCCGCCTTTACCGTAGGGATAAACACGTTATCTGCAGTTAAGAGAAAACAGGAGTTAAAAAGCCGTCAGTATAATCCAGGTTGGGTTTGCCAGGGAAGAAAAGTTCCTTCCTGTATTTTGCAGGCACAGCCAGCAATGCACAAGCACACAGATGCCCCTTGCAATCCAACTGAAGCGGTTTGACATTTCAGGACTTTTCGGTTAAGAAAAGATCTGACTCCTTATTTCCAAGGAAACAGGAAAGACTTTTACTGAATCCAATAATCTACTGATCAGGATAAAGCAGATCAGGCTTTGCCAAGGAAAAAGAACGCCCCTGACAAACAAGCTTACAAAGGAAAGGGATCAGTTTTCACAAGCCGAAGAGCTGTATAAAATTCAGAAGAGTCTCTGAAAACCCAGCTTCCAATGACTAAGACCATCTTGCCTCTGTTCCTCACAACGCTTTTTCTACTTCAGGTGCTCAGGGCCCTTACGCTCTCTCCTACGGCTCTACTTTGGTTCATTTTCTATTTCTGTGCAGATACGATTAGGAGAGGTTTTGTTGGGACAGTGACAGATGGAGGGAAGAAGGTCCCCCCCATCGTCCCTCTCTTTCTCTAACCATGCCACACCTGTGTTCAAAACCCTCCAGTGTTTCTCAGCACAGAGTAAAAGTCAAAGCCCTTCCAATGGCGAGGGGCCCCAAGCTCACCTCTGCCCCGTACCCTCACCCTGGCCTCCCCAGCCTCCCTGGTATTACTGACCGAGCCAGGCATTCCTGCCCCAGAGCTTCGAGTTCCCTCTGCCTGGAACATTCTTCCCCCAGCCAGATGCACAGCTGGTTCCTCACCTCCTTGGGTCTTTCCTGCAGCGTCACCTTCTCAGCGTGGCCTTTCCTGACACCCCATCTAAAACTGCCAACTCCTCTTCACCATCCCACTTCTCTGCTTGACTTTTCTTCTTGGCATTTATGACCTTCTAACATACCCCTCTATATTTTACTCATTTTTCAAAGCACACCATTCAAAGGGGGAAAGCAGTACACTTGGGAGCCTAGGGAAGCAGAAGGTGGCTCTGGCCTGCCTGCTACGCTTCTCAAAAGGTAGTGCGACCTGGACATTTCCTCTACCAGAGCCCAAACTCGCTCCCGAGGGCCCGAAGTGGAATGCAAGCTCCACAGGGTAGAGATTTTGGTCTGTTTGGATCACAATGCATGCCCAGTACCTACACAGTTATCTAAGACGTGATCAGTGCCCAACAGTACTTTTAAATAAGTGGATAAAGGGATAAAGGAATAAACAAACAAACTGAGGGACTTCCCTGGCGGTCCAGTGGTTAAGACTCTGTGCTTCCACTGCAAAGGGCGCAGGTTTGATTCCTGGTAGGGGAACTAAGCTCCTGCATGCCTCGAAGTGCAGCCAAAATAAATAGATAGACAGGTAGATAAATCAATTAATTAAATAAATAAAACCAATAAACTGAAATACTTGCCTGGGGTGAAAAACAAAACAGCCACCTCTGTAAGGCTCCACACCGGATAACCTGGGGCTAACTCCGGATAAAAATGCCCTACAGAGGGCTTCCCTGGTGGCGCAGTGGTTGAGAGTCCCCCTGCCGATGCAGGGGACACAGGTTCGTGCCCCAGTCCGGGAAGATCCCACATGCCACGGAGCGGCTGGACCCATGAGCCATGGCCGCTGAGCCTGTGCGTCTGGAGGCTGTGCTCCGCAACGGGAGAGGCCACAACAGTGAGAGGCCCGCATACAGCAAAAAAAAAAAAAAAGCCCTACAGAGAAATGCCTATCACTGAGCAACCCCCCCCCCCCCTGTGGAGCCCACTGTGGGCACCTACCTGGTGACAGTGTCCACCTGTTGGCTGGAGAGCACCGGAAATGCTCAGCCTTGTCCCTCCAGTACAAGGGCAGTGAAGAGGGACTTTCACCACCAGCCATTTCAAAACAGCTGCTTTGCTGAAGGTATTTAGAAATATTTCATCCTTTTCTCAAGACTCATTTTTTTTTTTTTAAAAAAAGGAAAATAAACACATCTGAAATCCTTTCTAAATATCCTGCTGTTTAAGTAATTGCTTACCAGGACATTCAAAAATAATTAAATCTCAGTCTTGTATTTTTGCTTAAGTCTCTCTCTTAGTCTCCCACTTTTAAAACCACACAAAGATGCCAAATAAATCTATCATGTTTGAAGGGGTTTCTGTTATTTTTAGGGTCAAGGTACCATACACTTTCAAAGTTTAAAAACAAAGGCCCTTAAAAAATTAAAAAACAGGGGCTTCCATGGTGGCGCAGTGGTTGAGAGTCCGCCTGCCGATGCAGGGGACACTGGTTCGTGCCCCGGTCCGGGAGGATCCCACATGCCGCAGAGCGGCTGGGCCCGTGAGCCATGGCCACTGAGCCTGCGCGTCCGGAGCCTGTGCTCTGCAATGGGAGAGGCCACAGCAGTGAGAGGCCCGCGTACCAGAAAAAAAAAAATATATATATATATATATACCAAAAAAAAAAAAAAATTAAAAAACAAAACAAAACAAACAAAGGCCCTTAAAAATTTTAGAGAGATACATTATAAAAGAAGATACTTGGAGAGTTCCCCAGTGGCCTAGTGGTTAGGATTCCAGACTTTCACTGCCGGTGCCCGGGTTCAATCCCTGGTCGGGGAACTGAGATCCAGCCATAAAGTGCAGCCAAAAAAAAAAGGAAGAAGAAGATACATAGATGGAAAGAGGCTCGATATCATTCATCAAGGAATTATAGATTACAATTACAAAAAACTACAATGAGATTCCACCACGTACCACTGTCAATTCCAGGTGTTGCCAAGGATGTGGACACCCAAATACACTGATGGCAGGAGTATAAGATGGTACAACCACTGTGAAAAAGTTTGACAGTTTCTTTCAAACAAGTGACCCAACAACTGCATTCTTAAGCTTTACCCATGAGAAATGAAAACATGTGTTCATACAAAGATGTGTGCATGAATGTTCAGAGTATTATTCAAATTAGCCAAAAAACTGAAAACAATCCAAATGTCCATCAACAAGAAAATGGACAAATTGTGGTAGTCCACACACAGAATATATTCAGTAATAAATAACACATTTCTGATATATGCAATAATGTGGATGAATCTTACATTATGCTAACAGAAGAACCATGTATTGTATGAAATCCAGGCAAAACAACAGATCAGTGGTTACCTGGGGTGGGAAGGTTGGCTTCAAAGGGCATGAGGGAACTTTTCTGGGGTGATGAAAAAGTCTTGTATGTTGACTGGAATGATGGTTTGTCAAAACTCATTAAACCATATACTTACAATGGTACATTTTATTATATGTAAATTATACCTCAATAATATATTAAAATGTATTTTTAAAAACAGAAAAAAAAATGAGACCTTTTAACTGGATTAGGGGAAAAGACGAGAAGTGTGTTAATCAGCTGTGTTCTCCTAGAAAAGAAAATGATTAAACTGGATGCCTTAAATTGGCAACAACTTGGGCTTCCCTGGCGGCGCAGTGGTTGGGAATCCGCTTGCCAATGCAGGGGACACAGGTTCAAGTCCTGGTCCGGGAAGATCCCACATCCTGCGGAGCAACTAAGCCCGTATGCCACAACTACTGAGCCTGTGTTCTAGAGCCCACGAGCCACAACTACTGAGCCCACACGCCTAGAGCCCGTGCTCCGCAACAAGAGAAGCCACCGCAATGAGAAGCCCGTGCACTGCAACGAAGAGCAGCCCCACTCACCACAACTAGAGAAAGCCCAAGTGCAACAAGGAAGACCCAACATGGCCAAAAATAAATAGATTAATTAATTAATTTTAAAAATTGGCAACAACCTTTAAGCCACGATCTAATAACAGCTAGCACTTGTTGCTTGCTTTCTGTGTGCGAGGCACTATTCTAAGTGCTCTACTTAGATTATTCTATTTAATCTTCACAAACACTTTACAAGACAATACTATTGTTGTTTAAGTCTAGACAATTACACTGAAGTACAGAGAGGTTAAATAACATAGCTAAAAAGAGAGAGAGCCAGATTCTGAATCTAGACCCCTCACGTCAGAGATACTGTTAGACTCTTAGCCACTGCTTTCTATCTTTCAGAGAACTTCAATGAGATTAACATCAGAGTAAACCAAGTTTCTATTATTTATGATATCAAGTAAAACTGAGAGTAAAAGTCTAAAATAGCTAGTTTGGCAACACTCAACAAAGTATATTGGACTCATTTTTTCCCAAAATTTTTATGAAATCATCTTGGTTCCTCTACAAGTTTATTTCCTAAATAAGTTTGTCTAGGGACTTCCCTGGTGGTCCAGTGGGTAGGACTCTGTGCTCCCAATACAGGGGGCCTGGGTTCGATCCCTGGTCGGGGAACTAGATCCTGCACATACGCTGCAACTAAGAGTTCGCATGCTGCAACTAAGAAGTCTGCGTGCCGCAACTAAGAAGCCCTCATGCCACAAGAAGATCCCACATGTTGCAACTAAGACCCGGCGCAGCCAAAATAAATAAATAAATAATTTTAAAAAAATGTTTGTCTATTTTTATTTGTCAAGGTAGATAGGATATTACTTACTGAATCAAAGACTAATCTCTAAGAGGCTGTATTTTACCTCCAGTGCAGCCTCCTGCCTCTGTTAAGAAGGGCGTGGTCAGGGTCTGGTAGCCAACAGTGAAGAAAACAGAATTGGTCAACGCAAAGGAAAAAAGCAATAAGAGGAAAGAGTAAGCAATCACAGGATCAGCTAAGAATATTTTTCAATGTGCCACATATATTCAGGCGTCACAGGTACACCTTCCTACTGTTCAGAGGTGAACAAAATGAGCTTTCACATGGTCTAATGCTCTAGTGTTTTTTAAAATGTAACTTTGGGAATTGTTGGCTGTGTACTCTCCCACTGTTATATACTAATTATATAGTAATATTAATATGTAATGCAGTCGGGACTTCCCTGGTGGTCCAGTGGTTAAGACGTGACTTTTGGAACACATTTCTTCTAAGAAAGGGGAAAAAAGTTGAAGTTACTAACATTCCATTCAACCAGTTTTGGTTTTGTTTTTTTTGCGGTACACGGGTCCCTCACTGTTGTGGCCTCTCCTGTTGCGGAGCACAGGCTCCGGACCCGCAGGCTCAGCGGCCATGGCTCACAGGCCCAGCCGCTCCGCAGCATATGGGATCTTCCTGGACCGGGGCGCGAACCCGTGCCCCCTGCATCGGCAGGCAGACTCTCAACCACTGCGCCACCACGGAAGCCCCATTCAACCAGCTTTTAAATGCATTCAAGGCTGACAACCAAGGAGGCAGCAGGATGTGTGACAGAGAAGGGCCCTGACCCAGAAGGCCTGGGTTCAAATCTCACACCACCACGTGCTGCTCTGTGATCCTGGACAAGTCATTTAATCTCTCAGAGCCTATTTTAGGATTTCCAAAATGGCTTTAAGCATAACTACTTTATAGGGGTATTTTGGACACTATCAATATATTTGAAATCAATGTTCATTAATATGAATTTGAGTATGTTTCTTCATTTGTCAAGTCAGGGGACTGGATAAGATTCTTCTGTTCTTTAGACCTCTAAAATTCTGGCTCTATAGCAGCATTTTCCAAAGTGTGCCCCATGGAACCCTGGCTCTATGGACTATTAGGTGTTGCTAGAAATAAAAAGGTCCTTTTGGTCTTATTATGGGTGTCTTCTTATGCCAGCCCAAGCATACATGACTTGCCCAAAATTACACAGGCAGTGGCAGGGCCAGAACTAGAATCCATATCCCTGGCTCCTGGCCCACTTGGGAATGGCGACTGAATGAACAGACTACAGACCGTGAGCACACAATCTTCTACTCTTCCATTAAAACAACTCTGAAAGTGACGTGTATCTTCCTAATTGCTAAATCTAAGATCTAGCCTCATTCCTCAGGCTCCTGCGCTTCTGCAGAAGCTGTGATGCTACTGACTCACCATGTCCAAGTCCCCCAGCCCACCTTCATTCCTCAACCCCACAGGGATCCCTGACTGGCTCCTACCTGCCCACTCAGACTCCTTTGCCTCTTCCTGTCCCTTCTGTATATGTTTGGCTTCCACTCCTGAAAACTCTTAAAATACACATCCCCAGCTTGATATCCTGCCAGCATTTCAAACACAGCTTGTTCAAAAACAAATGCATTACCCTCCCCACTGCCACCCCAGGTCTCCTGCTGAGCCCTCTGTTTCTGCAAACCCATCAATCACGCTCCAAAACATCCAGGGCCAAAACTTTGGGACTTTTTCCTTTTTCTTCTTTTCAGTGCCTTCAGTTGCCAAGTCCTCTAGGTCCACAAAATCTCCCCAAACCATGTCCTTCTTTGCATATCAACTTCACAGCCCCGGATGAACTTCTTTTACTTCTCCTGGGCTAAACCAATACTTCCCTAACTGATCTACTCCAAGCCATTGCTGCCAACTCAGTCATCTGCGAGCACAGATCCAATGATGCCCCTCTCCTGCCCAAAAACATTGCATAGCTCCCATGGTATATATGATTAAAGTAGGTGTCACCTTGTTTTCCACAACGTAACCAGTTTTCACTTCCTGTGCCATCTGCCAGTATTCCCTGGGCATGCTCTGTGCTTCCGTGGAAAAGGGATTGTACCTGCTCCCAGGCCCCCTCAGCCTGGTCTCGTTAAAGCCTCTGCCGGAGCCATTGTCCACCCAGAATGCTTTCTCCTCTCAGGCCCTCCTCAGTTCATGACAGCCACTCCCTCCAGTAGCCCTCCTGACTCCCCTGGGCCAGATGTGCTTTCTTCTACCTCTGAGCCCTCCTAGCTCTGCGTTGTATCCTTCTAATAGTCCGTATTTCCTACCTGACTTGCTTTTTTATCACACACGGCCCTACTACTGGAGGGAATGAGTGTCTCTCATTTACTTGCGCATAACAGGTGTTCCAGAGACATATAATGGATGGAATTGAAAAAGAAAACAGATTCCTGCCCAGAAAACTTGAACTAGAAGCATCCACACCCACTAGCCAGACAACTACTTCCTTAGCAAACAAGTTGATCAAACAGACACGTAATTCCTGTCAGGCTTGGCAAAAAAGGAACTGACTTCAGCCCTTTCTGTAAACAGTGATCTGCAGCATACCGCTGTAGGATTTTGTTTAAATTTTAATGTTAAAATAATTTTAGATTTACAGTAAGTTGCAAAGATAGTACAGTGAGCTCCTGTATGCTCTCTATCCAA